ACACTCAGGGATCGCTTACATGTATTTTACAAAACCGTAATTAATACTCTTGACAAATTCAAAAGATTGATAGCAAGTTATTGTTGTAAGGGTCGCTGCAAATATACAGGTACCCAGCAGTTCAGTACATGCTATGTTCTGCTGAAACATTTGATAAAGATGTGTTTGTGCAATACTCTGATGCAGCAAGGCACTGTGTGAGAACTTGGTGAAATTCACATTTAAATAGGACGGCATCATCACAGATAAACAATCAGAAGAAGACCTAATGTGTTTTTTCAACATTTTCTATTCTATTATAAATATCAATATTTACAAAGTCAACTTGCCTATGTCACATATATACAAAAACACAAACATCTTATCAATAAGATCAATAAATACATCATGCAGGACGGAATGAACAAAGATTGGACACAATTATTTGTATATGGTTTAAAAAAAAACAGCACAGTAAGTTTTTGCTTTCTTTCTTTATGGCCTTCTATAAATATATGTACTGTTATTGTAAAAATGGAATGTACATAGTAACTAAAGTAACTTTAAGCACCAATCAAATGTAACTTTTGATAAATATTTGACAGAAACTGTTATATTACTTACCGATGACAGTAACTTCACAGACGGGAAATTGGCTGTGCATGATCATATATATTAACCAAATTGTACAAACTGACAAGTTAAAACTGGTGACTTGTTTATTCTAAACTGGCAAAAATCAGCAACAAACTAAACATACCTGATCAGACAAATATCAAAATGTAAACAAACATACACTCTCATGAATACAATAGATTGGTGACAAGTGTTGACAGATGTTTGACTATCATACACAGTCTCTATGTGTACCGACATAGCTGTATCAGGATCTGGCGTATATATTAGTACAATGTGCATACATCTGGATAAAACACACCAGCTAAACAAAAATAAAATGTTGCCTCTACAAGCAAATAGCTGTGAATTCACTGAATAGAGCACTTCTAACTAAAGAACACAGTGACATACTGTGTAGCTTTTTAGAAGGTCTGCCTTCCATCACGGATGTTTACTAAAACTTCATTTACCTATTCTATAGTAATTCCTTCATTTTTTCAAGTCAAAGAATGACAATGAACGTCCGATGAATTACTACATGATTAAGGATATTTAGAACGTTCTTATAGTTCAGAAATTTTATGATATTCGGTTCAGACATTCTAAGTCTACATTAACAAAACTTTTGATTTCCAAATGAAATAACTTTTTGATCATTTGATTAAAACATAAAACTATTTCCTTCTTGTAATTATTATAAGAAAAATTAATCACTGGTTCCTCATCATGAACACTCATTTCATGAAAAGAGCGCTTCCTATCTGCTTGGAATGGTAACATGTCCGTAGATTTCTCTACAATTTTATGATCTATACTGGATTTAATGGAAATGAGCATGAGAAACTAGTTAGTCTGGACATTTCTTTATGGTTTGGTTGATTACCTTGTTCTCATCTGTCCATGTGATATTACTACTTGGTTTGACCAAGATTAACATAGCTGATAATGTTGATGAAGAAGATGTCTACTCTTGTCCTTTATTAGGAGTCTCCAACATATAAATCTTTCCCCTTTTTTTGTTTTGATTTCCCGTAGTTTCATCAAACTTGATTTTTAATCAAAATTTTGCTGTCATGTCAGTGTTTTCTTTATTCTTTTTTTGAATAAATAATACTTGATAAAACTGTGGTAGTGCGAGGAATCAAATGCTGGAACTATTGGTTTGTGGATTTCAGTCTATTCCATTCTTTTTTTCTTTTAAACTTCTGACACTTACTCCTGATCAAATATTTAAAAAATTGTTTATCAGTGTAAAATGACACATATTTTCTTGTGTGTGTGTACTGCCCTTTGTTTCACCCAGTCAGTTTGACAGCCGATCGGAGCCGAAAGTGATCAATTGTTTTATTTAAAACACAAGGAAACATCTATGAAAACCAGTCACAAACTAAAGCAAGGCCTACATCAGGACAGTTATAAAGTTCACCAGCTGTGGAAGTTTTAAGTGAATGAGTTATGAAAAGGCATTAAATGAAATAACATCCAGTTTAAAATTATGAGATAAAACAAAGAAAATAATATGCTAATGTGAAGTAACAAATATCAACGCTCAGAAATGAGCATTAAAGCATAAAGAACATTTCAAGCATGATGAAAATATTCTTACTTTGAGTGATTTATCTTAATTGCTGATGGTTACTTCAAACGTCCATTTTTTTAAACAGTCAGTATCCACTGCTCCAGTAAAACATGACTATTTTTGCTACTTTGTAGATAAATGAATGGTTAAGGATTTGTTTTGAGAAGGATCTCATACAATCCATTTACATGTGCTGTCGGCCACAACACAAAGTCAGGCGTTCATTAAAATGATAATATCTGTAACAGGTTGTCACGGATGGCTAACTCAAGGAAAATCATTCCTGTTCTACTAAGCGTGCTTTTACTGTGAAAAGTATATAGAAGACAAGTGTCATCTGTTATTGAAATATTGTTAATACAATGATATTCAGGCTAGTTGTTAACTTCCCTGAGGAATATTCCTGTAGATGGTAACAAACAAAAGGAATGAGTCCCATAAATTGTCTTTTTCATTCCCAAATAAAAACATTGTCTATTATACAGCAAAGCTTGCTAGCAGATTTTAGCTAAAAGCTATGCAGATAGATGATTTTTTTTATCAAATTACTACAAGCTTATTTCACCTGAAATGTTGTACACAGTATTGTAAAGGTTTTACTTCAAGTCAGATTTATGTTACAGTCTCTCACAGCTACATAAAGAATGACATCTTTTACACAAATATATACCTGACTTTAACAAAATTTTGAATATATATTTATAGTGATTTTGACATAAAAAAATGAACTTTCTAATATAAAATGAGATAAGTTTTCATTATGAAATCTTTGGTTGCTGGAGTACATGTTCATTCATGTGTAGATTGTAGACTTCTGAAATATTTTTTCTGTTATCATGTAGATATAAGATACCAAAAGATATCAAACAACCTAACTCCAAGTATGGAGATTCTATATTTTCAAAACTTGTTGAAGTTTTGAAACTTTTGTTCTGTATCAATTTCTTTTGATTGAAACACTGTTTTCTTGTGTCATCTTTTAATAACTAGTGAATACTAATACATCTGCGTAATTCTAGAGAAATGAACCAGTTCTCTCGTCTTAAATCATCAAAATGGACTTTATGTTAAAATTTGTGTTAAAAACACTAATGATTTCCAGTAATTAATTAAACTGACATAGAGAGTAGCTTCTGATAGAGAAATCCTACTGGTGGTTACCTGGTCTAGCTGCCTAAATTCATTTACGATAATATACCAGTAATATTTCTATGTTGAAGACTATTACATAAAGTGGGCATTGTCTGGTAACAACTACATAAACTATCACAACTCACAAGAAATAAAGTGCTCAAAAGACATGATTTATAAAATGACTCACTAGCTCTAAATTTTAGTATCCCCTTTACTGTACCCAGCTCTGAATGAGTTTCAGAAAACTTTATCATTCTCCCCTTTACTGTACCCAGCTCTGAATGAGTTTCAGTAAAACTTTATCATTCTCCCCTTTACTGTACCCAGCTCTGAATGAGTTTCAGTAAAACTTTATCATTCTCCCCTTTCACTGTACCTAGATCTGAAGAAGTTTTAATGTAACTTCCATACCCTCTTTCTAAGAATGCAAGTGTTTTGATTTAAATTCCAAGCATGATTTTTATCTAGATAGCAAGAATGCTGAAAACAGGAAACAGGGAGGGATTGACATCTTATGCTATAAGAAATAACTAAAATTGATAATCTATGTATGATGATAATTATGGAATGAGTTATGACAAGCTTATTTGACACTTGTTGATGGAAGGCAACTGACTTTTCATTCAACATAACATTAATGCTGTAGATTCTGACAAAAGGGAACATATTTGAAGTCACTTTATAAAGGACATTTTGAAAAGTGAAGCAATAATTATACCATTTAAGATGTGTCATGGCAATTCTATACTTGTTTGCACAAATCTATCAACATTAATACATTAAAAAAAAAAAAAACAAAACAGAATAAATAGTATGCAACTGAATCACGAAACATTTGATTTCATCAAAAGATGTTTATACACATGATTTTGAGTACGTGTTACATTCTGACAAAAATTCTATCACATGTAAAGTCAAGAGGCCCAATGGGCCTAGAGCACTCACCAGGTATATATATATATCAGACAAATGCTATGCCTCTCTGCCTTTCAGTTCATGAGAAGTCAATTAAATGTTTTAACAATTTTGACCCCTGTGACTTTGAACATATGTCAAGGTAACTTATTTCATCAACATTGTCAGACTTCATCCTAAGAACATACCAGTCAAATATCATGCCTGTAAGACTCTTTAGTCCATGAGAGGAAGTCATTTAAATGTTTTAACAAATTTGACCTCTGTGACCTTGAATATCAGTCAAGGTCTTTATTTTTTAAACTTTGCTGGGATTCATCCTGGGAACACACCAGTCAAATATCATGCATCTAGTCGTTTTAGATCATGAGAAGAATTTGTTTAAATATTTAAATTAGTTTGACCTCTGTGACCTTGAGTATAGGTCAAGGTCATTTCTTCTTGTAAACTTTGTCAAGCTTCATCAAAGGATCATACCAGCCAAATATCAAATGAAGTTGTTTAAAGTTGACGTCGGATGCCAGACGACAGATGCTGCGCCACAACATGCCAAGTGAGCTAAAAATGGTTCTTTTTGTATGTTTATCTTCAACGTAGTAATGTAATTTATCTATGCAGTAAAATTACATCTGCAAACATAAAAGCTGCTTTCGTTGTATATCTGAATGTCATATGCTCCAAGACATTGATAAAACCTGGTTAGTACTTATCACAAAGGCTTATAAATTAACACATTTTTTACAAAACATGTGAAATCTTCATCAATGTTATGCGATCACATTTTCCTTGTGGACTTGATGGGACTCAAGGAAACATCAAAATCATCACTTGATTCAAACAGTCTTTTCTTGGGTTCAGGTAGATAGGAATCTGACTTTGAGAACTCGCCCAAGGATGAGTTGTTTGAAAGGTAGCTGTAACCTCCCTTGGTAGCTGTTTCAAGGTCCAATGGTTTGCTGGTGTATGAGGATGTTGGGGGTGGGGCAGAGGAGGGGTAGGCAGAGGATGAGGGGTAGGTTGAAGTGAGAGAGGCAGCAGGGTAGGTGGATCTAGAGGGTGGATGAGCTGTGGAATATGTGTTACTGGCACTAATGGAAGTTACGGTGGTTGGGAGGTAGGAGGTTGTGGAGGTGGAGGAAGATAATGGTGCAGATGTATAGCGCGAGGATGAGGGGGCCGGGTCAAATCGTGATGACGAGGGATAAGCACTCTCTAGCGAAGACCTGGCAGATGTACCTGTAAAAGGAAGAGCAGAAACATCAGTTTTGTCTACAGGCCGATAATCAGAGGAATAATTCACACCACTCCCAGTCACAGCAAAATCACTACTACTACTTACAGTGTGAGTGCGGGCGCCACTACTGCCCTGGACTAGTATCTTAGACACAGGTACGTCCAGACTAGCTGACCGTGTCCTGATGCTGGGCTTATAATCGCCCCTATTCCTGGGATTCACTCCTAAATCTATGTCTGTATAGGAAAAGCTTGGTCTATCTCTACCAGAGGAATATGAAGCACTATTAAAAGCATTAGTGTGAGCTGTGTTATTAGCGTCCCCGCCTCCATCTACACCAGACACACCCTGCTCCCCTGTATAGGCATGAGAATGTGACACAGAAACAGGCTGAGACATATACAAGGACGAAACACTGGACACATGTGCAGGTTGTGACACAGAAGATGAAACATAAGGCGGCAAAACAATGTCGTCAACTGTGTCAGGGGGTGTGTCAGCTACATAGTCAGTGCTGGGGGCAGCCACAGTGTCATACATGCCACCCTTACCCATATTAGTAGCACTCATAGCATAACTACCAGCCGTAGCACCATAGTCCGAGTAGGGCCTTGTTCTGGATGGCCGTGGAGGGAGGGACGCCTTCGAGTATTCCTGGTTAGTTTCAGACAAAGAACCAGGAAGAGCCCTACCTTGTCTGTCCGACTCATACGATCCCGTTGTAAACTTGCTGACAGATGGCTTGCTGCTTGTGCTGGATGAATAGCTGGGAAGACTGAGGCGTTTTGATTTGAAGGAAGGAATATCTTCTGCCGTGGCATAGCGGCTGCCGGTACTTTGAGAAGACTTGGGAGACATAAATAGATTGTCAACAGAAGGACTCCTCCCAAAACCACTTTGACTGAGTGGTTTCCCAGACAAGGACGGCTTATTTTGGAGGGCAGAACTAGCTGAACTGTACATGCTGTTTGGCTTTGAGGGCGGCAAACTTGCTGAAGTTGTTCGCGGAGGCAGTAGATCACGATCAACAGATCTACGGTACCTTGTGGCATCACCACCACCAGCATTGTAATTGTCCGTGTACCTTTCACTGGAGGAGGTACTTGTTGATGGCACAGAATACTGATCACTATCTGTTTTGCTAGACAAATCAGATTTGTAGCTTGTAGCAGTTGACAATACTGTCCTATATTTGTTACCAATAGTGTCTGTATCACTTTGTGAAGTCCTGTATTTACTGCTTACTGAATCGGCATCCCCTACCATCACACCATAGCTAGACTTACTAGCAGCACTGGGTTTGAAGTCTTCCTCCAAACGAGGGTTGTAATATTTTGAGGAATAAGTTGTATCAGTCCTTGAAGGTTCTGTCTTTGAATAAGACTTAAAGTCATCCCTAGATTTAAAATCCTGTGTAACAACATCAGGTTTTGATTTAAAGTCATCTTTATGATCCAGAGGGTCAACTTTTGACCTGTAATTCCCCAAATAATCCTTTGTAGGCCTGTACACAGCTTCGCTATCCATGTCCTCTTCTTCTTCATCACCATGACTGCTCACCTTTTTCTCTGCTCGATTTAGAAGCTTCATACAGTCAGTAAAGTCTGGAGTAAGAGAGATATCTAGTTCATCCAACTCTGACTGGATAGCTTGAGTATCATCAAGTTCCTGATCATGTCTATCTGACCCTCTCCCAGGATGTTCAAGACTGAAACTCTCATTAAAGTCACTTCTCCTGGATGTTGGACGGAACAAATCATCATCATCTTTGCTATAGCGTTGTGTGGATGGCTTTCTTCGAGTATCAAAAAGGGAATCATCTAAAGAGCTTGGCTTTGAAAGACTAAAACTGTCACTCATTTCTGCAGTACTTGACTTCTTACTGTGTTTCAGTACACCTTTGATAGGCGAGTCCGATGACCCATTTGTAAGCGACAGTTTTGATGTCATAGGACTTGGCATTTCAAGATCAAATGATATTGTTTCACTTTTATCCCTTGGAAGATCAAATGTGACCCGCTTTGATTTGGAACCATTCTTGGAAGCTGTAGGTTTCATGCTAGCCTTTGTGTCATAAGACTTGTACCGTTCATGCAAAGACTGGTCATCGTAATGAGCGTATTTGTGTGACTCACCATTCATATAGTCTTGGTCATCTGGTTTTTTCTTTTTATCACTACTTTCCTCCCCGAACAGCTGTCGCTTGTGGCTGCCATCCACACCGTAGCCTGAGGTTAATGGAGGATCAGGGGGCAGAAAGCGTGTGTAGGAGGACTTTGAGGGCTGGCTGGACAATGTGTCTGCTTTAGACTTAGTTCGCAGTTCACCAAGTTCTGTCTGCATCTCCTCAATGTACTTGTCACTTTTCTCTAATGCCTTGTTCAGTTGGCCCACTTCCTTCTCATAGCTCTGGATTTTGGCCTCAAGTGTGGACACAGTATAGCGTCCATACCTGTTAAGATAACAGAAAAAATAATTTATAGTCAATATCAGTTTCCTCTCACCTACCAATTCATCAAATGTCTCATCCAGCATCATGAGTGATCTGAAGCAATGATTCTGTCTTAAGGAGCTAGCTGGTACATGTACTAGGATTGATATATATATATTCACTGTTCTGACTTACGGAGCTAGCTGGTACATGTACTAGGATTGATATATATATGTATTTACTGTTCTGTCTTAAGGAGCTAGCAGGTACATGTACTAGGATTGATATATATGTGTATTTACTTAAGCAGTTAATATATTTACCTGTGAGGAGAACGATTGGCAATTTCTCCTCTTAATTTCTGATTTTCATGGTTAATATTCACATTTTCCTCCTTCAAAGAGTTATTTTCCTTAGAAAAAAAAACAGTGTATTAGCATATTATCAAATGTGATTTTTAAAATTAATATCAAAATATGCTACAGAAGAATAATCTGTTGAAGAAAAAATATGCATGATAGATATGGAGTGTCTTTCAATGGTCTAGGAAATCTACAAATGTGTATTCTATATCAGATGTACCTCTCTGTGGTCTAGGAAATCTACATCTACAACTGTGTAGTCTATACTTTTGTTGGCCTTGATGGAAGTGATTGAGGGTCTTATTGTAGGAAATCAGAGTACCTAGGAAAACCTATGTGGTTCTGATTTAATGGCTTAGCAATAATTTATGAACATTAGGATATTCAATTTGGTGAATTCACTGATTAACTCAATTGAACCATACATATAGCACTAGTCGTATTTACATGTAATATGGTAAATCGTTATGAATGTATTTGTTAATATGCAATTGGGGAAAGTTGAAAAGTAAAGACTTTATAACTTCAGAGACTGTTCTAGGTTAATAGAAAAAAATGCAAACCTCTTTTGTTTTAGCCAGTTCAATCTTCACTTTCTCATAAAGTCTCTGTGCATCCTGTAGTTTTTTTGTTAGAAGCAACAGTCCATTAGTATCAGCTGTCTTTGGCAGACCTATGTCTTTAGAGGAAGTTTTGCCATCAGGGCCCCTCTTCTGTAGCTGTTGTTTCAGTACACTTACTTCTGTTTTCAGTAAGTTATTTTCAGCATTCAACCTTTCAAACTCTTCCTATGGAATCAATCATTCAGGACAAACTTTCATTTTTATGTTTGATACATTTCAGCAAAGTTACAGATGGTAATAATATAGCAGTGTAAATCTACTCATCAGGTTACATAACTACACTGCTCATAATGTTTCATAATGTAGGGTAATGAACAGCTGGCTTTACCCCAGTGGGACCTTGCTCTAGGGTGATGGACAGATGGGTGATACCTCACTGGGACCTTGCTCTAGGGTGATGGACAGCTGAGTGTTACCTCAATGGGACCTTGCTGTAGGGTGATGGACAGATGGGTGATACCTCAATGGGACCTTGCTGTAGGGTGATGGACAGCTGAGTGTTACCTCACTGGGACCTTGCTGTAGGGTGATGGACAGCTGGGTGATACCTCAATGGGACCTTGCTGTAGGGTGATGGACAGATGAGTGTTACCTCAATGGGACCTTGCTGTAGGGTGATGGACAGATGGGTGATACCTCACTGGGACCTTTCTGTAGGGTGATGGACAGCTGAATGTTACCCCAATGGGACCTTGCTCTAGGGTGTTGGACAGATGGGTGATACCTCACTGGGACCTTCCTGTAGGGTGATGGACAGATGGGTGATACCCCACTGGGACCTTTCTATAGGGTGATGGACAGATGAGTGTTACCCCAGTGGGACCTTGCTCTAGGGTGATGGACAGATGGGTGATACCTCACTGGGACCTTTCTGTAGGGTGATGGACAGCTGAGTGTTACCCCAATGGGACCTTGCTCTAGGGTGATGGACAGATGGGTGATACCTCACTGGGACCTTGCTGTAGGGTGAGGGTCAGCTGTAGGGGATACCCCACTGGGACCTTGCTGTAGGGTGATGGTCAGCTGGGTGATACCTCACTGGGACCTTGCTGTAGGATGATGGACAGATGGGTGATACCCCAATGGGACCTTGCTGAAGGGTGATGGACAGCTGGGTGATACCCCACTGGGACCTTGCTGTAGGGTGATGGACAGCTGAGTGTTACCTCAATGGGACCTACATGTAGCTGGTCTTGACATTTCATTGTATGTAGATACACTGGGTACATTTTTTGTTTTACAAGTTTATTTTATTAGTTCCAACACATTTGTATAGATGATAGTTGATTGTGCAAGATGTGCTATTTATAAAGCAGGTTTCATTACTTTAAAGCATTGAGTAGAATTTAAAAAAACACATTTGCATAAAAATGGACTTAAAAAAAAAATTACTCCTATTGTTGTAAACTAGAAGATGCCATCTTTTCTGGTTACATTTATGATTTTGTTCATATAACAGTATAAAGTTAAGTAAGAACCACAGTGTTGTTGATTTGTGGTCAAACCTGAAGATAGGAAGGTGTCCTTAGGGATATGACTTCCATGAGGGTTTGTTAAGAAAGGGCAAGACCAAAGTTAGGGAGGAGAACAAGTTACAGATTTCAAAAGAGATGTGGAGACAAGAGATTAAAATCTGTGTTATTGTATAGCTTTGAATTATAAATCTATGTATCACAGATAAACCATATGGGAAAGTGATATCAGACTTGTGTGCACACTCAGATTCCAAGATAACCATTCAGATATATCAAATGAAAGAATCTGATTAACTCACCTCATATTCTCTGTAAAGCACATCAAATCTAGCCTTGCGTAGCTCAGGGTTTGAAAGTCTGTCCTTGTCATCCATGGCTTCGTTTAATCCTCCTAAACCGGAATCAACAATGTTTAGATCAATGTGCGTCAACCACTTAAAAAATACCAACTAGATAAACAATTTATTTCCAACAAAACTTACATATGATAAAATACTATTGCAGAACTTTCATGAAAAATAAAATCTTATTTCATTGCATGAACCTAAAAGGCAATTGTAAACAATGAGCCACATGGTGTGGTATTATCCTCTTTACCATGCTGTTGTGTAAAACCAAAATAAGATATCTATATACTGGTATAACAATTTGTGACATCACTCAATTATGTACGGCTTAAGATTTAATACATCGAAAGCCTTAGTGCAAAATGTAAGGTCTTTTTCGTCAATTATCAATTAAATTTCTTTGCATCTCCTTAACATATTCAATATATTATCTTATATATCAACCTTATAGTAAGTGTTTATATCTTGATGTAGATCCTGTGTGTTTGACTGTTGATATTGGAATAGACCTTGGTATTGTCCAGGAACAAATTTATGCAACACTCTATAAAATCTGGAATAATACAAGAAGTCACAAGAAATAAAAAAATTTGATGTCAACGGAATAAATATAAAAAAAATGAAACTTAATATATACGCAAAGTTTTAATGTGTTGAGTGGAATAGTTTTGAAGTTGTAGTCTTGAAAGGAAAGTAAACAATAATTTTGTGTTTTATGACTATGCTTCCATGTTATCAGAAAAAATATATATAAAAAAATATTGTCAATAGCAAAAGGCACAACTAGGGCACTAACTTAATATATACAGCAAGTTTTGTGAAATTGAATTGAATGATTTTGAAGTTAAAGGCCGCAAAAGCTGACAGACCGACAGAGCCCAAATTAATATTCCCCCAGATTCACTTAACGAAAGATAATTAATGATTTACAACCTCTAGCGTAGTGTGGGCATGTATTGATAGAGGGTAGGTAACTCTTACAAGTATGTAGAAGTGTTGAAAGTCTCATAAACTCTAGATAACTGGTCATTCTGCTTATCAAATTCACTCTTGGTTAAAATTAAGTAAAAGACTGGCATAATAGAGTAAATCAGCTCATTTTAACTAGAAATACCTGCTGGATAAAATCCAGACACAAAAATCTGTACAGTCAATCAAGCTGAGTTGTCCTGATTAAGTCTGGATCCATTGTCCCGGGATATAAATATTTGTGTACACCTAACTGGATTATGCATTACAATAATCTATTCTGCCTTCAGTTCTACTCTGGTCTTACAAAAGGGAACTAAAAGTGAAAGTAGAAATAATCAGGCACCAGATATTGAATTACTTTGATTACCTAAGGTAAGTATCCATCTATCAAGGCATAAATATAAGTAACAATCTTAGGCAATTCCTACAAAATGCAATTTACCATTAATATTACCTTGTTTTGTGCTGTCCCTATTATCATTTAACAACAGGCTTGATTATTACAGTAGTCTCAGTCAATGTGACCTTTAATTGCTTGCTTGGTTAAAGTAAAGTTATTATATTTTTATCTGAAAGCAGAATGCCAAACTGTGGGGTTCCACTTTATCTGGAACCCATAGAAAGGACATGCACTATATAGTGTATAATATCCAAATTGGGATACACAAAGAAGTACCCATAGGCTTAAATCATATTGTCCAACATCTGGAGTAGGAGCCACACAAAAATTAGACTAACAGCTTTTATGCTTTTGATGTAATCCTTACAGCCAGAATATAGCTTGTATGGCAGGGATGTATTCCCTACAGTCAGAATATAGTCTGTACAGCAGGGATGTAGTCCCTACAGTCAGAATATAGTCTGTACAGCAGGGATGTAGTCCCTACAGTCAGAATAAAGTCTGTACAGCAGGGATGTAGTCCCTACAGTCAGAATATAGTCTGTACAACAGGGATGTAGTCCCTACAGTCAGAATATAGTCTGTAAAATAGGAATGTAGTCCCTACAGTCAGAATACAGTCTGTAAAACAGGAATGTAGTCCCTACAGTCAGAATATAGTCTGTACAGCAGGGATGTAGTCCCTACAGTCTGAATATAGTCTGTACAGCAGGGATGTAGTCCCTACAGTCAGAATATAGTCTGTAAAACAGGAATGTAGTCCCTACAGTCAGAATATAGTCTGTACAACAGGGATGTAGTCCCTAGTCAGAATATAGTCTGTACAGCAGGGATGTAGTCCCTACAGTCAGAATATAGTCTGTACAGCAGGGATGTAGTCCCTACAGTCAGAATATAGTCTGTACAATAGGGATGTAATCCCTACAGTCAGAATATAGTCTGTACAGTATGGATGTAGTCCATACAGTCAGAATATAGTCTGTACAATAGGGATGTGTTCATTAGTCAGAATATAGTCTGTATGGCAGGGGTGTATTCCTTAGTCAGAATAGAGCCTTAATGGTATGGTCAGGATATAGTCTCTACAGTTGGGATGGAGCCTCTGTGGTTGGGATATAGCCTTTATGGTGGGATAAAGTCCTTGCAGTTGGGTTATACCCTCTATAGTGGGGATGTAGTCCCTAAATTGGGGCAAAGCTGATACAGTTGGTATGTAATTATCTAGCTCAATCATGCCAAACTCTTATTTCACTCTCAAATGTTCTTACTTCCATTTAACACTTTGGACTTTAAAAATTCATTCATTGGGATCACCTTGTAAAGACCGAGAAAATGGTTATCTAGTGATAGTGTGTATTTCCTAGTGTTTTATTTCTGAAACAGCATTTGCTAGTTTATAGTTCCTGAAAAAAAGCAGTGTATCGCAGAACTTACCAAGAATTTGTCGTACAGGATTAGCAGGGTTTATGGTTATACGACAGGCTGGACATTGTTGGTTTCGCTGTAGCCATACATCCATACACTGGGAACAGAACACATGGTTGTTTGGACACAACACTGGCTGTTTTACCTGTGAAAAGAGGCATCCATTTACACAAATCAGTACTTTCATATCTATACCCACATTGTCAATATGGACTTGTATTTCCAAGAAATAAACTAAAACATTGTGAGTTAGAATAGGTAATACATAGCTACTCTCAATACACTTTCTTATGAAGCCTACTGTTTTATTGAGAAAAATGCAAATTGGAGCTATGGATTTAATTTACACTTAGTTTTCAATAGTTGGGACAATCACTGTAAAAATATATATTACAGACCCTTTCCATGAGTCAAAATGTTGCTCTCATTAAAAAGGGATACCAGGGGTTTCAAATCTGAGCTGATTTTTGGCAGGATAATGTAGGGAATAAAATAATCTACAAGTAAGTCAGTAAGTGATCACTCTCAACATTTCAATGAAATTCAGTCAGGTACATATTATATACATGGTTTTGAATTTAATTCATTTGGTATTCAGTGTATGAGTTCGCTACCAGATGATTATCCGACTTTTGGAAACGGCAGTTGATATCAGAAATATTTCTACTCACTCTAACATAGTGCACTGACAGTATATCATTCCTCCAAGAGTGTCAGTTTCCCGTGGTCAAAGAAAGCTATCCCGCCGCAAGCCTTGGATACGGCGACGCTTTTCTTATTTTACTACCAAATCGATTGATCATATATATACATGAAAGTTTTCCACAATATGACGAAACGGAGTATCAGAAAACCCACCTTTCCTAGACAAATTTGACAAGAAATCGGCAACGTGAAAGCGATTGTGCTGTGCTTGTCCCGTCTTGCATTTATGTCCGCCGCCATACTACCGGAAGTTTACAAGCGTATGGATATATCAAATGAGAACAATACATTGTTTATTTTCTTCTTTAAAGGTAGTTTGATGAATTTTTACATCTTATAATTATAGCGGAGTAATTTATCATATAATTGTAAAAAATGTGTATGTTTAAACCGAAAGTGTTGTTTTTGATTAGTCGAAAAAACAAAGTACGTCTAACGCGCAATGATTCAAAAAATGTGTTGTTAGGCACTTCCGTCAACGTGGTATCACCGCGGTATCATCGTAACGTCTGTCAATGACGGTGATACAATGGCACTGCTTAGTATTTTAAGAAGCAACTGGTTTATAATAGGAATAGTTCTTGTGATCATCAGTGCCAAATTTGACCCAGATATCGGTTCAAAAGGAGGTATGGTGTTTAAAAATACGATTGTTTATATATGAAACTATTTCAAACCGTTTCCAGGGATGATCCTGTATGTCAAGTCTTCTGTGACAAATTTAAGTCAATTTATATATATATATTGTCAACAATTTTATTAACTTCGCTCACTTTCTCAGTTTGTCAAGTGATTTTAAATTAAGCTTATCATGTGACACTTTTTCCCCACCTTTATTGTTCATCGTTTTTTAGCCATAATGTCAATCATGTACTCAGTGTTGATGGACTGTTAAGAATATGATTTGTAATGATAATGCTTGTTGTTCATTTCAAGGAATTCTCAAACCAGAGATTACAGTAAAGTATGTTGCCGTATTCATCATTTTCTTCAACAGTGGTCTGTCATTGAAAACAGAGGTAAGGGATGTATCATAGTAGTATTTGTGGGTACAAAGTTATCTTACTAGGGATCTACAATAAATTTGGAACTCATTTCGAGAACTTTCTCTTAAAGTCAAACCCATTTTTTTCCCTTATTTTTTCTTTTGTTAAAAATCTTGCTTAAATTCAGAGCATGGTGAATTATCAAGAATTACAGTAGAAATTGTATACTTTGTTAAGAGTTTGTATTTCTGAATTTTATTTAATACAGGAATTCACTAAAGCTATTTTCCAAGTGAAGATTCATGTATTCATTCAAGGATTCACCTTCATTATATTTCCACTGTTGATGCAGACTTTGGCAACGTTATTGGCATCAGGGCCTTTTGACAAACATCTGATAGAAGGGTAAGGATAAATAATGCCGAAAACCTGCTTCACAACCTCTTAGAGAAATTTGCCATTTTAGGTCAAAAGTCATATTTTTGGAATAGGAAAAAGTATAAAAAGACACCTTGCCTCCAAAGGGATTCAAACAAGCAACTCTTTGGTCTCTAGATCGATACTCTATCATTGAACTAAAGGGAAACTCCCATTAGCCAAGGCTAGTAGGCAGATGTGTACTCTGAACTTTTTTGGAAGGCTGGCAGTTCAGAGTAATCGTTTGTTACAAAATTATCACTGCTTATCAACATCACAAATAAATATATTTTTTAGCTGAGTTAAGGATTTGAATGATACAATCTCTGTATAAAGTATTTTGGTTGGTTTCAGTTTAAAGGTGCTTGGTTGTATGCCACCACCGGTGTCTTCTGCTGTAATACTCACTAAAGCTGCTGTAGGAAATGAGGTAAGAAAAATTAAATAGGCCTGTAGTTCAATATGGCACAGACTTTTAAGATTAGAGCCTGTAAAATTTTTCAATATAGGAAACATTTTTTCATCTATACTAAGCAATATGTTTTAATGGATAATACATTATACAATAAAAATTCACAACATTTTGCCAACAAGTTAATTCCTTGATTAACATAAATATACACATTCATCAGTATATCACTGTAAACAAAAAAACTTATTAAAACCAATGTTATACAAAACATGATTTACGACTAAATATTTACAAAAAATACATGCATAATACATACAGTTCACAAACTCATAGGTAAATTAAGTTATTGAGTTAACTCTCACCCCCTAGCTATTTAATGTATACATAAGTACATATCTCTCTTTGCTTCACTTTTACAGGCTGCAGCTATTTTCAACTCCGCTCTGGGTAGTTTTTTGGTATGTTGGCTTTGAAATTCAATTTTTTCATTTGTTAGTTTTTGCCACAAATTGGATAAAACACCATGTAATTTCAAAGATTATGGCTTTTCTTCAAAAACATGAAATTCTTATTTAGAAGTGAAACATACATTGCATATTTATAATGTTTACCTGTTAACAAATCTTACTGTATTGATTATATATCTACAGGAACCTAATGACATGCAATAACAAAAAATTTTATTGTTGTTGATTTCAGGGTATCTTTGTAACACCAACTCTGATTTTAATGGTGGTAAGTTACAAAATTTACACATATATTAAGGTATCCATTTAATCCAGTCAGTTACTGATACTTTTACTTGTGTGACATCATGATAACAGACAGTGATTGTACACCAGCAACATCACTGCTCCATCTAGAGGACTGAGGAGGTAGTATTAATACATGACACAAATTTGTAGAACACTAACAAGTTTGATGTGGTGGAAAAATGCACTATACCTCGTATAAAGATAAACCAAAATATAAATTATGGTAGAATCAAATAATCTTCATAGATGGAAGGATCTTAAGGTGCTATACCAAAACTGTAAAATTTATGACCCCAGGGTCTCCCATTTCCCTGTGGGGAAAGGGTCAAGTTAACTATAGTTTATATAGGAAAAAAAGATTTTTCAGCATATTTTTTCTCTATTTTCTATAATTTTTGGAAATAGATGAAATTTGGTTTGGATTGTTAGTATAGGTCCCCAGAGACTGACAGGCAGGGCAACAAAGGATAAAATTGACTGAAATTAAAAAAGTCTTCAATACCCAAATAAAGTAGAATCAAATACTCTTCATGGATAGAAGAGGTTTTGGGTGCTTTATCAAAATCGTAAATTTCATGACCTCAATTTCACAATATCTCCCTGGGGAGGGAGTAAAGTTTATTGTAGTTTATATAGGGAATAACATTTTTTAGCATAATTTGTTTATTTTTCCATTGGAAGTAGATCAAATTTTGTTAGAATTGTTAGACTAAGTATAGGATGAAAGTTTGGTGTTGTGCATGTATTGACCCTGGCTGATATTTCAAAATCTTCTCAATAAACAAATATGGTAGAATCAAATATTGTTTATGGATGGAAAGAGCTATAGGGGCTTTACCAAAATTATAAATATCACAACCCTATTTGTAACTTAGTAAAACTCTTCTGTTCCTGTACAAATTGAATTTCTCATTTTCTCTTCTCTATACTACACATTCATTCCAATTGTTTCCATTTTTGAGGTCACTCAGGTGACCGTTTAGGCCCCTGGGCCTCATATTTTATATACATTTTGTATCTGATGAGATGATGACTGCAGCAGATTACATTGTTGAATACTAATATTATAGTTATGATCACATCTCTCATTTCATGTCCTACCAATTAGTTAGGGGCAGTAGGAAATGAGAGATGTAATCATAACTATATTAGATTTGTTAGACATGATAGGGTACAGATAATTTTCTTTATGCTTGCGATTGTATATTGTGTATAGATGTAAAGATGTCATGTATGAAGAACTACATACACATATAATTTAGAATCTTTCCCTTTCAAAAATGAATTTCCTTCAAAAGCTTAGACTAAGAGATTATTTTTTTATTGCACATTTTTATATTTAAATGAATAGCTATTCTCACATTAAGTGTAACAACGCATATGGTTAGAACTATTAACTCATTTGTTGTAAATAATGTACAGTACAAAGACGGCTAGACCATTTAGTGTAAAAACAAATCAGTGTCGTTAATATCGGAGCATTCTGATCTCCCAGTTACTTCCCTTGGTTTCATTCTATCACATTGTATAGCAATAAGCTTGATAGCCAATGGGTGCCCAAAAATGATATTGCAGTATAGCTATAGAATTTTCTTAAAGGTTGGATCCCAGGCAGATGTACCTATCACCACCATCATAGTCCAGTTATGTATGACTGTAGTCGTGCCACTTGTGACTGGTCAGGTTGTACGGCGGTTTGTAAGAGTTTGGATGGAGAGGACATATATTCCCTTCAGCACCATAGGAAGGTATGAATTAATACAAGTTACCATTTACAAATCACCTCTCTGGTACACATACAAGTTACCTTTCTTTAATTAAGGAAGGCATGGAACTAGGTACAGATTCAAGTTATCCTTTAATTAGGAAGGCTTAAGTTAAGGTACCTGTTAGGCATGAATGCAAACATCTGCATTAAGATAGGAATTAAGATGTAAATACACATTACTAACCTTAACCAATGAAGGTACCGACAGAGTTATTTGCCTTATCATTAGAACGAGTGAACTCCCTCAACATGGCAGTTATTGGCTGTAACTGAATTTTAAAAGTATTAGATAAACATTACACATCCTGCATTTAATTCTGTATGTTTCCAAATAGGATAAACTTTAATGACTCATTAAGTAAAGTTTGCTTCAAATACTTTCAGAATTTCAAAACATCTTCTTTGCCATTGTTTTCTTTCTGTATTAGGAATATATGAGCAATAATAATGACTATGATTCTAATAGTATGTTTGAGAAAATTTGTATTTTTTTTTTCAGTGGAATTTTACTACTTATCATTTACACAACTTTCTGTGATACATTTTCTCATAAAGATGTCAATTTAGATGCCATCAATCTCATGTCCATCATACTTCTCAGTGAGTATCCAAGTCATTATTCATTTACAACCTGTACCTTATACACCATTGTGCTAGCAGTTGTGTACTGTATGTTTAGAATTTTACACATTAAGTGTACTCCATTGTGCCAATAGTTGTGTACTGTAGGTATAGAATTTTAGACAGTAAGTGTACACCATTGTGTCAACAGTTGTGTACTGTAGGTATAGAATTTTAGACGTTAAGTGTACACTATTGTGCCAATAGTTGTGTACTGTAGGTATAGAATGTTAGACGTTAAGTGTACACTATTGTGCCAATAGTTGTGTTCTGTAGGTATAGAATTTTAGACGTTAAGTGTACACTTTTGTGCCAATAGTTGTGTTCTGTAGGTATAGAATTTTAGACGTTAAGTGTACACTATTGTGCCAATAGTTGTGTTCTGTAGGTATAGAATTTGAGACAGTAAGTGTACATCATTGTGTAACAGAGGTCATTATTTATTTCAATGCCTTTGCTAGGAATCAAACTTGGTACCCCTGGCTTACTAGTATGACGCTCAACCAATCAAGCTAAAGAGAATTTCTCTCTTGCTGAGTGGTATACTGTGGCTTGTGTTTTACCAGGGTTACAATTGTGACAATAGTTGTGTACTGTAGGTATAGAATTTTAGACAGTAAGTGTACACCATTGTGTCAACAGTTGTGTACTGTAGGTATAGAATTTTAGACATTAAGTGTACACCATTGTGCCAATAGTTGTGTACTGTAGGTATAGAATTTTAGACATTAAGTGTACACCATTGTGTCAACAGTTGTGTACTGTAGGTATAGAATATTAGACAGTAAGTGTACACCATTGTGCCAATAGTTGTGTACTGTAGGTATAGAATTTTAGACATTAAGTGTACACCATTTTGCCAATAGTTGTGTACTGTAGGTATAGAATTTTAGACATTAAGTGTACACCATTGTGCCAATAGTTGTGTACTGTAGGTATAGAATTTTCGACAGTAAGTGAACACCATTGTGTCAACAGTTGTGTACTGTAGGTATAGAATTTTTGACAGTAAGTGTACACCATTGTGCCAATAGTTGTGTACTGTAGGTATAGAATTTTCGACAGTAAGTGTACACCATTGTGCTAACAGTTGTGTACTGTAGGTATAGAATTTTCGACAGTAAGTGTACACCATTGTGCTAACAGTTGTGTACTGTAGGTATAGAATTTTAGACAATAAACATTATTAGCACACAATGATAATGAAATATATATTACCCTGGTATGTTTCAATGATTTTATTGACATTTAACTTATCAAATGCATTTTTTATTTTCAGTTGTCATAATCCAGTCCATTTTATTGACACTGATATTCTTTTTCTCATCATGGAAGCAAGCAGGATTCCAGCCTGTGGACTGTCCTGCTGTCATGTTTTGCGCCACACACAAGTCACTCACACTGGGTAGGTCAATTATCTTAGACTTCAGTATATCAATTCTTTCATTAACCAAAGATTAAGTTTATCAGATAACATGTTTATTTTCACGTTACCGTAGATAACAATTTCAAATCAAATATGGCCTTGACCTTTTGTTATTCCTATTTTAAGATTACCCTTTTGGCCTTAAAAGCTGACACTCAAAGAATCCTTCTGATCTGTAAGGTAGCGAGAGGTCTGAGGGATATTATCTTCAGTGGTGACCCGTGAGTGAATTGAACTTACATGTATCCCTATAGTAAAAGATTATCTTCACTGGTGACCCAATCATGTTTGTGATTTCTACTTACTGGTATACCTGAAGTACAGATTATCTTCAGTGGTGACCTAATCGTGTCTGTGATTTCTAACTACTGGTTTACCTTAAGTACAGATTATCTTCAGTGGTGACCTAATCGTGTCTGTGATTTCTAACTACAGGTATCCCCATAGTAAAGATTATCTTCAGTGGTGACCCAACCATGTCTGTGATAACCATCCCACTCCTGGTGTACCATCCAACACAGATTTTAATCGGCAGTCTCATTGTCCCATTTCTGAGAGGCTGGCTACTCTTACAGTCCAAACACAGGTAAGCACTGTGATATATCATTGTTCCTCAATAAACATACTATAAAGTATAGTAGACTGAAGTTTGAGAAAGTACCGTTTACCAGCATAGATATGTAACATGCTATTTTGGACCTACTCAAGTTAGTATCAAAATATGTATGAGGATACTATTGAACCATAAATAGTTGTTTGGGAATACTGGTAAACCAAAAATAGACATTTGAAGACATTGTTAAAGCATATAAAGGTCTTCGAGGGCAGAACTTTATAAATTAGAAGTAGATATTATTGTGCTAACACTATGTACAATAGTAAGAAATTGAAATAAGAATCTTCTCTTATTTTGTTTCAGAAAAAACATCACAAGGCATGTATGACCCAAAGGTGTAGTCATATAAACACTGGCTGAAAGGAGGAGACTATTTCTACTGGAAAGTCTATCTCTACTGAAAAATCTCTACTGGAAAGACTATCTCGACCCAGAAATCCTATCTTGATCAAGAAATCCTATCTTGACACATTCAAATTTTCCATTTTATCTGTTTTTTATACAATGCTTGCAGTACAATACACTGCTTTTCCATCATGATGTCACAAAGTGTTTCCAATATTGCAATGGTCATAGACAAATCAAACCAGCATGAAGAACATCCCATGCATGTGCCTATAATTCACCAGGAAAACAAAGTCATATGCCAGACATATTTTAGAGGGCAGAGTATGTGAACTTCTGATCTCAGGAATTATGTTCATTCCCATTTTGTGAAAAAATGACATGATGAAGTTGGGATATATAATATCTATTTAGCTGTTGATATATACATGTACAGGTATTACATTCATTTTAGTTTACATACTTAGAGATTTCCCGACTTTATATAGGTCAAAATAGGCACACAACTAGTTTGAGATGAGTGGGCACATTATACAATACCTTGGTATAATGCTCAGGGTGGTGATGCTGTCATGTAATTTGATTCAAGAGTTCCATAGACGTACATGTAGATGATTCTGTCTGCCCAACAAATTGTGTGAAGATGTTAACTGAAAATGACTTTTAGTCTTGCTAATGAATTCTTGTGTCCATACTTTAAGATCCTAACTAAAAGTAAAGATGGACAAGTGATCAGTACTACGAGGTATTCAAGAAAATAAAAAAAAAAACAATAGTTTTTTCAGTTATTGCACAGAAATAAAGGTACAGGAATTATATTATAATGTGGAATCCTCACTATCAGGTTTTGGTAGAATTAGACCTCAGTTAATTGATACTTATTTATAGATAATTTCAGGTAAATGATACACAGCTCCGGGTAAGTGAGCAGAAGATTGGTGTAGACACTCCCAGAGTGATAAGTATACTAAGCATTAGTTATAAAGCATGAAATACATTAATTTGATATATATAAAGTTTTTTTCTGATATGAAAGTGTCTAGTGGGCAAATGGGTGATATGGAGAATGAAGATCACAGGGTCTAGTCTACATAGACGTAGGGAAAACTGGGCCTATTTGATATGAGGATGATGTTAGTAATTTAAAAGTTCAACAGTGATTTTTTAATAATAACTTTTCAGGACTAGTTTCAAGTCAAGTGGCAACTCAGCATCATATCTTAAGATTTGATATGATTGTAAAGGAATTACACAAATTATTTCTGTAAGGGTATGAAACTGTTCTCAAGACTGTAGTGATGAGTGGCTGATATTGTGAGAGTTTGTATACCCGATATAAGTGGTACATACTTATTTATATGTAATATATGAGGTTTTCTTTAATTGTTGGTACAACTATTATTTGTATATGTTTATAAAGGGCTTATATATAAATTATATGTATATTTTTAACATTTGATGTTAAAACATGGGTACAATTCTTGTATGTTATTGTTGTTAAGTTTGAAATTTTGGATTTGGTGTTTTTATTCTTGTAAAATGCAAATAAAATGTGATTTTTTTCCACTGTGAGATTTCCTGTTTTGATTTTACTTTCATACAAGAGATCCCAGAGAGCTCTTGGTGCCCACTATCATGTGATCATCTTTGTTTAAAGAGGGATCTTCCTCTAAAGAAATTTCAAAATCTCACATGGGCATCTGTCAGCCATTTTGTTTCTCTGAGCTGTCCCAAAACACAACTAGGGACAAAGGAAATGTTTGTATGAAAATTGTGAGAGATCCATCCAGTAATTTTCAAGAAATAGAGATAACAAGAATTGTTTCTGGACAGATAGAAGAAGGGAATATTGAACAGCACACATGGTGTTGGTCTGAAAACAGGATTTATGTTATTTATTGTAGAAGGTTTACATGTAATTAGATATTATGACTATATAGAGATGACTTCTGACAAGAATCATATAAAAGATAAAGGAAACAAGAGGCCCATAAGACCTGTCTGCTCACTTGGATCCAAAGCCTATAATGGTTATACATGCCTATAGGTTAGGTATTTCAAATATTTCCAAGTTACATCTCAGTTACTTAATGCCTTTGGTAGGTCAAGAACAATGGGTAAATGCTTATATCACAACTGAGTTTATATGGTTATCAGGTTTGGATATCAACTGTTTGAAATATATGACCCAGAAATTAAGTCCCTAGAGGTGTGCCACCCCCAAGGGTCGATTCTTACATCATGAATAGGTTTATCTCTTGTTGTGAAGCAATTCTATATATGGCTACACTAAATGGCTATTTCTTGATGCCTAGCAATGCTATGTATGTTTATGGGGCGTGGATCTCAACTGTTTCAAAGATATAACCCAGAAGTCCTGAGGTCAGACTCTAGGGCCAGTTCTGACATCATGAATATGTTCATCTTTTGATCTCCAGTATTGTTATATGTGGTTTAGGGGTGGGGGTCTCAACTGTTTCAAAGATATAACCCATTTCTGCAACTGAGCCCCTCCCCTCTGTCCTAGGGGCCCAGACCCATCAATTATGAAAAATTGATTCCCCTTCACCAAATCATACTTTAGACCAAATTTAGGAAAAATCAAATCATGCCTACAAGAATAATTTGCTCTATCCCTACTGGGCTCCTCCCATCTCCTCCAGGGGGCTGAGACACAACATTTATACAAAATTTATTCTACTTCACCAAACATTATTCAGACCACATTTGGATGAAATCCAAACATTCCTACAGGAGTTAAAGGATTTTAAAGAAATCACACTATATGTATTTCCCCTACTTGGCATTGGGTTGAAACCCATCGTTTACTATAGTATACAAAATTGATTCCCCTTCACAAAACAATGCTTCAGACCAAGTTTGGGCAAAAATTCAATAATTCCTTCAGTATGAGAAGGATTTTAATGTGTTAAATCTATCTTCCCCATTGGGCAAAGACCCTCCTGCCCCTGGAGGACAAGACCCATCGTTTATGAAAAAATTAATTCCACTTCACCTAACAATGCTTCAAACCAATTTTTGGACCTGCCCCTGGGGCCATGGAGGTCGGGACAACCATTGATGCAAAATTTGTTCTTCTTCCCCCAAGGATGCTTCTGACCGAATTTGGTCAAAAGTCAGTCTGTATATGATTAGTTGTAATTTTTAGAAAAAAGTTGATGGACGGACAGACCAAAGTGATAGTGCAATATTATCTTCAATTTAGGAGGGCTGATTGATAAGTTGTGAGCCTCATATTTAAGGGTTTGATTATTGACTGACATATTGCATTATGTTTTACCATTATCCCCTTCAGTATCTATACACTCTTACCAGCGATACTTAAGGGCCTCAATGCCACTTTCAAAGAAGACCTTTCCTTGACCATTCAGAAAGTTCTCCACTGCTTGTTTGACCTCATTATCTGACCAAAAGTGGGTACCAGAAATGGACTTTTTCAATAATGGAAAAAGATGAAAGTCTTAAGGAGTGAGATCAGGCAAATAAGGTCATGCTCAATTAATTCAAAGCCATAATCATTGATTATTTGTCCCTTTTGTAGATAATTTACCATCAAATTACCATCAGCATCCAAGAAAATAGAGGCTATAACCTTTTCAGCTGATGGAGCAATCTTTTCCTTCTTTGGCGGGGATGAACCAAGGTGCTTCCATTGTTTAGCCTGTTGTTTGGCCTCACATTTCATCCAGTCACAACACTGCAGAAAGTTAGCAGGATCGGCCTCTAAGAGGTTCAGATAAGCACACGGTGTGTTTCTGATCAACTGTCAGAAGTCATGGTACCAAACAGGATAAACAGGATCCTAATCCTATTGGTCTGCCCCTATCTCCCCAGGAGGCTGAGACCCACTGTTTATTCAAAATTGATTCCCCGTCACCCTAGGATGATTAAGACCTAAATGGGACATAATCCTGACATTCTAATAGAAAAAGGATGATTTTAAAGAATATACTCTATTTCCCATATTGGGCCCTGCCTCTAGCAAAGACACACCAAGTATACAAGATTAATCCTCTTCATCCAAGGATGCTTCAGTCCAAATTGGGACAAACCTGACATTCCTACAGAAGAAGAAGAATTTAAAAGAAATTGCTCTACCTCCCTTATAGGCCCCTCCCCCTCATATCCTAGAAGCAAAGTCGCACTATGTATACACAAGAGTTCCTCGGAACTGTATGTGTCGCCAGCATAAAGTGTCACGGTCACCCAGAAATTGAACTGGATGTGCAACGATCAACCATAAAGTTGTAATACCAAATTTCATTTCTATAACTTGAAGCATAAAGGGAAAACTGCTCAAAGCAATATTCCTGAGAAATTTTTCAAGTTCAAAGGGACATATCACTGCCAAGAAGGGTTACAGACTGCCAAGAAGCGAACTCGGTGCGTAACTTTTGACCAAGAACTTATATACAAAATTGCATGAACTCGAAACATAACCAAAGAAAGTCAAGAAAACAATATTCCAAGAGAATTTTCTAAGTTCAAAGGGGCATAACTCTGCCAAAAAGGGGTCACAGACAGCCAGGAATCGAACTTAATCTGTACCCTTGCAGGGGCCTTGATCTAACTGTTTATAAAAAATTGATTTCCTTTCGTAAAAATTTGTTCTATATTCAATATTAGGTCCTACAAACCTACCACTTATACAAAATTAATCCCCTTTCACCCAACAAAGAATAAGACCAAAATTGGAGAGGGCCCTGGCATTCCTGACAAAACAGAAAGGACTTTTAAAAAATCTGCAAAATCTCCCAATTCAATCCAGCTTCTCAGGACATGGGGAGCCAAAATCCACCATTTATACATGAAAAAGGTGAGCAAAAAAAAAACCTATCTATAGTAAGACACTTTGTTACCATGAAAACAATAAACTAGAAAATGTCTGTTGTAAGACATGAATGCCCCCGCCCGCCCATGTGAAATAATAGTGAAAGGTCCGAATGAAGTTGTTAGGTGGTATATACTGATTTGGGACGGGACGGGACGGGACAGGACGCGACGCGACGGACGGACATGGGCAACGCTATGGCGGGGGCATAAAAATAACACCTTTAATCTAACCTCTTGACATTTGAATCTTACAGCAAGGAATAAAGCTTTGTTAATGAAGATGAAGGGTTTAGCTAAATGAAACAAAGTGAAATTACTAACTAACGGAATGTAAGACAGGAGACATCAAACTTTAGGGAACTAAAGTTGTTGAAATTTTTCCTTACTTGAATTCAGGAGAGCAATGACAATGAAATATATAATATATATATCTGGGTTTATCAAAAAAGATTATTAACTCTGAAGAAAGAGGCACTGAATCAAGAGATATTCATCATGTTGTGGGCCTCTTTCATGTTGTTGAGAGAGATAGCCACCATCTATCTTTACAAGGAAAACTTACCTAAAAATATTCCTGGCTGTTCATCTGACAATGAACCCTGCAAATGTACGAAAACTGCAGTAAAACAGTTTATCTGTCAAAGGAAACAAAATTAATAAAATCTTTGCTGAAATAAATGATCTAAATCAGTTTTCTCTACTTTACTTAACAGTGCTACATATGTATAAATTTATTTGTTATACTGTAGCACTGTGAATATATGCTCATTAAGAAAATTACAGAACTGTAAAGATACCAAGTTACTGGCATTATGGTAGAATAATTCATATGGAAATGAATATGATGAAGAACCAAATTAGCATATTGCAATTTGTATAAATTTAACAATGAACTTGAATCAACATCTACACCTGTACTTACATTATATACCATATCCATATATTGTAGATCTGACGAGTGTCAGGGATGGATTCACATTTGTTGATTGACTAGGACTAGAGTGATTTGTGAGAAGTGTCTGGGGGATAATTCACATTTGCTGACTGTCAATGATTAGTGATTTGTGAGAAGTGTCTGGGGATAATTCACATTTGTTGACTGTCAAAGATTAGTGATTTGTGAGAAGTGTCTGGGGGATAATTCACATTTGTTGACTGTCAAAGATTAGTGATTTGTGAGAAGTGTCTGGGGGATAATTCACATTTGTTGACTGTCAAAGATTAGTGATTTGTGAGAAGTGTCTGGGGGATAATTCACATTTGTTGACTGTCAAAGATTAGTGATTTGTGAGAAGTGTCTGGGGGATAATTCACATTTGTTGACTGTCAAGGATTAGTGATACTGTCAAAGATTAGTGATTTGTGAGAAGTGTCTGGGGATAATTCACATTTGTTGACTGTCAAAGATTAGTGATTTGTGAGAAATGTCTGGGGATAATTCACATTTGTTGACTGTCAAGGATTAGTGATACTGTCAAAGATTAGTGATTTGTGAGAAGTGTCTGGGGATAATTCACATTTGCTGACTGTCAAGGATTAGTGATTTGTGAGAAATGTCTGGTGGTGATTCACATTTGCGGACTGTCAAGGATTAGTGATTTGTGAGAAATGTCTGGTGGTGATTTACATTTGCGGACTGTCAAGGATTAGTGATTTGTGAGAAATGTCTGGGGATAATTCACATTTGTTGACTGTCAAGGATTAGTGATTTGTGAGAAGTGTCTGGGGATAATTCACATTTGTTGACTGTCAAGGATTAGTGATACTGTCAAAGATTAGTGATTTGTGAGAAGTGTCTGGGGATAATTCACATTTGTTGACTGTCAAGGATTAGTGATTTGTGAGAAATGTCTGGGGATAATTCACATTTGTTGACTGTCAAGGATTAGTGATACTGTCAAAGATTAGTGATTTGTGAGAAGTGTCTGGGGATAATTCACATTTGCTGACTGTCAAGGATTAGTGATTTGTGAGAAATGTCTGGTGGTGATTCACATTTGCTGACTGTCAAGGATTAGTGATTTGTGAGAAATGTCTGGTGGTGATTCACATTTGCGGACTGTCAAGGATTAGTGATTTGTGAGAATGTCTGGTGGTGATTCACATTTGCGGACTGTCAAGGATTAGTGATTTGTGAGAAATGTCTGGGGATGATTCATATTTGCTGACTGTAAAGGATAAGTGATTTGTGAGAAATGTCATGGATGGATTCACATTTGTTAGGGATGGATTCACATTTGGTGACTGTCAAGGATGAATTTACATTTCTTAACTGACTAGGTTGATTTGTGAGAAGTGTCAGGGATAGGGAATCACAACTGTTGCAGACTAGGATGATTTTGGGATTGGATTTTGGGACTGCGCATTTTTCGAAGCATTCTCAAAATACCTTTTGAGAATTTTTTGGTGGAATTTTCCACATCTTTTCATTGTTTATTTTATTTTTTTTTTTCACTCAACATTTTTTTCTCTTTCATGTTCAACAAATCATCATCTAAGCATGCAATTTATTGAAGCAAGACTTGTTTCATTTCTTTTTTATCGTGGCTTTTTTTTTTGCACCTATTTTTTTTTTCTGTCTTGCATATGATTTTTTTTCTGTTTTGTTTCAATAAACATCAAGAACAACATGAATTCTGTATAAATATTGTTAGTCCTGTTGAATGTTCTACGATTACACCTTCATAACTGCCATAACACTACATTCAATGGTATGTTCACCTTCTTTGTTATTTCTGATAAAGTACACATTTGAAAATTCAATGATTGAAAAAAGAAATTAAAAAAAAACTTTCTTTTAATTACTTGCAATGGCTTAACTTGCAATAATTACTTGGTATGCTCATATGCAGTTAGCTAAAATTTGAAAATGATTGCTCCTACACTCTCTATAGTGACATTATTTACAAAACAGGTGTGTTTGTTAATACATTCAACTTGACTTCTTTTTCAAGACAAAATAAAGTAAATGCACATTAATTGAAATTGCCATTCCATCATTAAATTGGAAATTTGGGCTTCATTCTTTAATGACTACATAAATGACCTAAGTACTGGTGTTATTAATGACTTCAATGTTACAGATAAATACATGATATTCTCCACAACATTTTCATCAATTACTACTATGTTCTACTAGAACCACTCCAGATGATATAGGAGGTGTTTGATGGAGAAGTTATAGGTGGTGCTGAGCTCACCATCATACAAAACACTTTTCTTTACTTAAGTTAATCTACCTCTCTGATCATGATAATAATGAGATTATCATGAACCATAATCTCAATGCTGTATGTATAAATGCTTTGTTACAATATCAACAAAGGGCAGATAATTCTGTGAGACAGACTGTTTCAGTGAAATACCTTCCATTTTTTTAGAATCACAAAAGAATTTTAATGCAAATAAAAGTGGAATGTGAAATCATTTCAGAATAGTAAATATTGAAGTACATTGTCAGTGACTTAAAACATATTTTGGCATGGGTAAAGAAAGATTAAATTGGTGAGCCACTCTCGTCTTCCTGTCCCAAGCCAAAATGCAACTTTTGTTTTACGACATTGATCATGAATTCTATCTTATCTAAAAATTTAGACTATCCAAATAGTTTATCAGGCCTATTCAATAGTTGTTTACCTGACTTTGATGTTACACAGCGTACCTGAAGATGCAAAAATAACTACTCTGCACTGTAATATAGTTCCACCCTTATATGGGATATAAAAAGCAATTTTAAATGAAATTGCTTACTTGAACAGTTACTTCTTTTTCTAACTGAAATATGTACAGTAAATCAGAAAGGAATTCTGTTGAAAGCAATTCTGCTAAAATACAGCTACTTTCCATCACTGCTGAACACAGCCAAAAATGTGGTAGTTGTATTCTGATAATGACAGCACCAAATGCAGGACCAATCAAAACACACAGGATATATCATTACAATGCTAGAGATCATAGTAATTGTTTCAAAGTTGTGTATCTTATTTCTGACATGAAAGAATCCCTTTTTCAGTGTGTGAACTCACACATGAACAGTTTAAATCTTTTACACTATAACTTTCTTCTGATAAAGTACTTGATATGCAAAACACACCGGTTTGTAAAACACAGAGGTTAAAAATTTAACAAAGATCAATGTCATGAAACAAAATTAAAAATTGTTTGAAATAACAGATACAAACATAAAGCCTCTTTATTTGAACATCAAGTTTGATTAGTAGCCAACGACTAATGTAATGACATTTTTTTTCAACTGCTATATATACATCCTGAACACTCCATTTCAGGATTTCACAAGTAACTCCATACAACTCGCAGTCACAAACAGCTGAACATTGTGAAACATTCCACCTAAATATTTCACATCATCCTCATTACATCTATCATAGGAAAGTTTTCACCTTAATTCTCCTCTCACCTCTGTTCATTAATTATTTACACAGATATGCTTTTAATATTGATAATGCACCACTTATCTCCAGAATTGCAATGTGAGAGCCAGCTGTAGATTGATTACATCCATTTAGAAAGTTTAAAATATCACTTCTGGGCAAGGATACAAATCTTATTGCACCAATTAAAAACATGATGTCGAGCAGCTTTCTTACAGGGAGAATTTTTTACAGATCAATCAGGGCTACATCATCATTAAAGCATTTGTACAAACCATCTCAACAATCCAGAACATGTGTTTACTGACTACAGTTGAATCTCCCTCTCATTCAATCACAGAGTCAAAATTCTCTGAATGTCATACATTCGTTCATAAAATGCAATATGAAATTATATATAAATCAGGGACATTTTAGAATGTCTACAGTAAAACAACTACTTTACTACATCCCCTCCAGAACAGGAAATCACTTCCTGTTATCGCCTCCATGAACGACTTTCCTCATCATCTTCCTCATCATCATCTCCTGCAAGTAGCGCATCTTCATCTATTTCTTCATCAGCTAAAGAAACCTGTAAATAAGTGTATGATATGTTAAAAGCCATTCAGTTCAATGGTCCCTGCAGACAGTTTCATTAGCACTACATCATTAGATCTTGATCTGTAGCTAAATACATCTTTGCTAGACTAAGTGTTTCTTCATTTAACATGCAAATTTCCAATATGTGCACAGAGAACTGTTGAATAAAGAATGTATTTGAAAGTTCATTTGTATCACCACAAAATACCAATGAATTACCTCTTCTGCAGGGTCCTCTCCTCCAAAACTGTCATCGCTGCTGATGTTGAGGTTCAACGTAACCTTGGGCTCTATATACCACTTCATTGCAAGGACAGTGTTGTTGAACTTGGAACCACGTAATACAGCCTTCAAAAGTCATAAAACAAAGGAATCACTTTCAAACTTGATGGCAATGCAATTCCTATACGTGTTGTCTGATTTCAGACTTTTAAATCTCTGTATTCATGACAATTCTTATACATAGCAAATCCTAGCAAGGAAGGGTGCCAAAATCAAAAAAGATTTTATAAATCAAAATTCATTTCCAGAATTAAGTAGCAAAATATCATACTTGACATTCCTTGAAAAGAAATTATTGTTCCAGGGAGGAGAATAATTATGTAAAATCTATCCTGAAACTTGAGTAGTTCTTAGTAGGTAAAAATGAATGTAACAATTTATAATATAGAAAGATACTTTTTGATATTAAGACAAGAGATCCTAGAGGGATTTTGGTGCCCACAATTTATTAAACCTCTCATTTGTTGTTTAATATGTAGTACAATAAATTTTTTCACCTATCTCTTCTTTTTTGTGTTTTTGCTCTAAAGTTTATGAAATTTGAAATCAGAGATGTATCCAACCATACTTACCATTTCTGCATCCATTCTTGTTTGAAAGGCAACAATTGCAGACTGAGAATCTTCATCAAAATCAACCTTTTCAACTGTTCCAAATTGCTATAATGGATAAGAAATAAAAGTTTACACATAATACCTAAACCAGATACAGATATATCAAGATCCCATTTTAGGAAAAGCTACTCCAGATATAAAACAAAGATCGGGAATTTGTTGAAGCAGAAATATAAATTACATTATAAGACTGCAAACAAACATATCTCTTTCTATAATATTTAATATTTTCATGAGTAATTTTCCATTTTGTTGCTAAAAACAATTGGTCAGTATTTCTGGAAATTCTATGGGTTCCATCAAAAGTTTTTGAGTACAGGATTTGTGTGTAGATTTATCACTGATATTTTAGCACTTTTCATGCTGAGGGTATTGTTCTAAAACGGCAACTTTAGTAAGGTATTCAGCAATTATTGTTGATGTGCAAATTTATCAATTCGCTAATTCACCACAAAATGTTAATTGGATAAAATATTTTGGTGCAAAGTTCAGTATGTTTACAGTATTTGTCAAATGACATTCAATCCTGAAGTAATATGAGATGAAGGAACTTGCAGTACTACAGCAACTGAAAGAAATACAAAGACAACACATCAAACAAGTGCTGAGTAGAAGTGTAGATATCAATCCATTAGAACTTACTGAAAAGTGAGGAAGGATGCCATCTCTTTCCTCCATCTCAAATCCAGACACCTCCACCATCTTAGGTCTCTTGTCCAAGGTCCTGTTCCCACCAGGAGGGAAACCTGTTCCCCTGCCCCTTCCCCTGTTGGCACGTCCACGACCCCTCAGACCACCAGCTACCCAGGTAGTAGATCCTCGTCCACGGGAAACACCACGACCACGGCCTCTACCCAGGAGACCCATAGCTGATGCCTGGTATCAATAATATTATCCTATTTATGACTATTTCACAATTTTATTTTTATTTGCTATCATTAATACAAATGCAATTTAGGACTGAATATCCAATATATGGTGTAATTTAATTATTATTGCTGTTCATATTCAGCAATCAGGTAAGAATTAGAACATGTGTATAAATTCTATTTTGGCTTAAACAATAAAGACCATTTACATGTTAAGATTTCTGAGCTTCTCTGTCATATTGAAAAGGATTTTGTAAACATAAAGACATCTATCTAGTAAGTTTTGTGGGATTCAATTTATATTTAGAAATCACTTTGCCAATATAGGAGACGCACCTGTTTAGTAAGTTCACTGAGCTTCTGTTTTAAGTTGGATGTATCCTCTCCAGTACTCTGTTTTGTAAACAACTCCAACTCTGTGTCCAGGATCTCCTTCCGCGCCTGACCAAGCAAGAGATCAGAACCATCAAGGAAAAGAAAGGATAAACAAGAGATCCCAGTGGGATTTATAGACACATATTTGTTACATAAAGGTGGCATTTATAGACAAGCATTTGTTATATAGATGTGGCATTTATAGACAGATATTTGTTTGTTATATAGATGTGGTATTTATAGACAGGTATTTGATACATAGATGTGGCATTTATAGACAAGCATTTGTTATATAGATGTGGCATTTATAGACAGATATTTGTTTGTTATATAGATGTGGTATTTATAGACAGGTATTTGTTATATAGATGTGGCATTCATAGACATATGTTTGTTATATATTGGTGACCTTTATATACAGGTATTTGTTATAAAGAGGTGGCATTTATAGAAAAGTATTTGCCTCATTAAGCCTAATTATCAATTCAAAAATGAATAAACATGCAGCTTTAATGTTAAAATAGGTACCAGTTCTGATGACTTCAGTGTTGCTGGATCCACCACAGGTTTCTTTGGAACAAGTTCTACTTTCAATTTAACAATACTGCTCTCAAGTATCTTTAAAGTCTGCCAAAAAATTCATTGACAAATTAACATTTTGATATACTTTGTTACCAACAGTTGTACATTTTGCCGGAGTTCTTAATATGACAGATTTTCATGTGGATTTTATTTTTTGATTGTGTAGTTTACATCTTGATTCAGTCAACTATTTCAATTTTTCTTATTTACAAAAACACATACTCTGACACCTGTACCAGTAAAACAAAAAGTACTTTCTGCCATCTAACCATTCAAGTAATCATCACAAGAACAAAAAGTTTTGTTTTTTTTTTCAATTTTTGGCATCTGAGTTCCATACATCCGTAATTGTGAAATACAATAAATAATACCAGTACATGATGTGTTAGTAAATTTGATGAAGATTTGTTTTCCTACCTTCATGATTGCTTCCTTGTCCTCAGCACTCATGTTTTTGTTTTTTTCCAACTTTTGTATCAACACCTAGAAATAGAAACCCATGGACTTTGGTTAAGCTGATATCAAATAACATAACAATGATTTCTGTGTAATGGGAGAATTTCATTTTTTAACACCCACTTCCCAAAGATGGCAATCATAGCAGCAATATTTGATCTGAAATTGACCTAAAAAATAGCAACACTTGGTCACGACAATTTCATAACCATTTCAGGCATGCTTGACCTGAACCCCATGTGTAAAATAGGTGCTGTTCAGGAAAACAATGACTGTGCAATCATGTTTCAAAAATGGCCACTGTGGTTAGCTGCCACACTGAACTTTTGAAGACTGAAATATAAGAACACTTTATCAGTATTCCTTTCCTTATCAATCCCAACAATTTTCAGCTCAATGGCACCAGTGGAACTTGAGAAGTCTAAAATGTGTTCATTAAAGATGGTGACTGTCTTGGATTTCAGACCTGTCTGAAAAGTAAGAATGCTTGGTCAACTATATCTCAGGATCATTCATGGAAAGTTTCAGATCAAGACATGACAAAACATAATAATAATTCAGAAATCTAGAAACTTTTAAAACAGTAATAAATAAGTCTTAAGTGGGATGCAAATGCCAGTATACAAGATCAGGGATTTATTAATAGGTTTTATCAGTTACAATAAATGATAATCTTGTACTGTAGTTTTATTCTTCAGAAGTTCAAATTAACTCCAGAAATTTAGGATATCTTGAAACTTACCTTCTGTTGTTCTAGCTGTTTCTGGAGTAATTCATGCTTCTGCTTTTGAATCTCTATTTTCTTTTTCATTGCTTCCTGTAATAAAATTGTGCCAATTCAGGTCATATTCTTATCAATCCACATCAGAAATTCTACAAAAATCCTATTGCTAAAGTCTACATAACTGTTACCCCTTCCAAATGTGATTAGACATGTGCTATGTTTTGATCCTACACCTCGTTAATCTAGACAACCTGGTTCTACAACATGTATAACTACTCGCTGAAGCATGTAACTAATACCATAAAATGATACGTAAAAGTTTTAATGACTAACCTTTTTCAAAGCGTCCTGGCGTTTAATAGCCTCGATCTTGAAGACAAAGCTTGCTGTCTGCACTGCGGTGGGACTTGCAAGAGCTTTCTTAGCTTTGATAGCTTCTGGGTTATACACAGTTTTTGTAATGTTACCCACAGAGGATGTGTATACAATGGTCTGTAAAATACAAACACATTCTCAGTTCACAGTTTAGTTGATCTGGAGTTTTAATTTTTTAACCAATGATCAGCTCATAAGATGACATATTACCAGTATTAATACTCCTATCATGGCTGGATATAAGAGCGAGCTCACTCCTCATATCAGAGCACAGCTGGAGTGAATCAATCTGACAGTGATTTTACCACACTTACCTGCATGTCACTATTCATCTTTACACAGGATTGCAATAAAAACCATGTCTGTTCTGTTAATCTGTGTCCAAAATCTAAGCAATATTTATCTCATGAAAACAAGGGAGATTTCTGAAATTTGGTTAATCCACACTAACAATTTTCAATTTTTTCACCATTCCGACAAAGTTTCTCTTGTCTACTTACCAAATTACCATAAATTGACTTTGTTTTTTCTCTATAGGGGTGGGCGGCCTTTAAAAGTACTTACACGCCATAGTTAGAAATGATATCTAAAATAACACCACATGTTACTTGTTAGGACATTCCCCTATGTTTCACTACAGGATAAGCTTATCTTGCAGGAAATGGTATATAACATTAAGGATATATTATTTCACCATCAATCACCATTGTTATCACATAATCTCCAAACAATTGTATTACAGTTTTTAAAATGAATAATTTAGAGTTTACTTCAGCAGAAGTGTACTGTTACTTGGTAGTGCTAGACAATCATAATATTATCAAAGCCAAAACAATGCAGGTACATATGACAGAGTCTGATGTTTATATTGATAAAAACCAAGAAAATATAGATATGTTATACTTGGGTACAATGACGACTAGTTTATATAAAAACTCCATTTGAAATGAATTCTATGTTAACGACTTTACTTTTGTGCATAACTCTTTAAGTGGTTCAATACAAGAACTTTTTTTTGCCAATCAGGATGATCACATAGGTCATTTCCACATCCCTCCCTCCTCTACCACCACTCTACTTCTTTTTTTACCTAAACAATTGCAAGAAAGAAAAAAAAAAAATCTCTACCTTTTCTCTCTTAGGGTCAGGAGTATCTGCAAACTCGCTTGCTTCACTTGCAGGAACTTCCACTGCCGGAGTAGTAGGCGGTTTCTTTAGATTGTTAAGTGAGAGTTTACTGGCTGGAGGAATGATGGATCCTAGTCTTGACTTAGCAGAGGCATGCTGAACATTCCGCATGTCACCAGAATTGGCCTTGTGCCCAGAATTTTCTGAGGAATCTGGCTGGTTTTGTGCCAGCTCCTGTTTAGAGGTAGACAACAAATCCATCTTAGTTCTGATATCAAGACATAAAGTTAACAAATACATGATGCAAAACATTTAGCAAAACTAATATACAGAAGATACCAACAAAGAGTGTTTGACAGTGTACAGTGTGCACAATCCTACATAAGGTTGTGAAGAAAAACTGTTTCAAATTTTTAAACATCATATTAAAATTCTGTGAGTGTGAACTTGACTTTAAGTGATGAAATTTTCCTTTCTCTTTAATAATATACAATGTAAAATAATACCTTGTCTGGTTTGTGCCAGAAGAGCTTTATGAATCTATTATTAAAGACAGGATCACTACAGCGGTAGGCAGCCAGAGCTTCAGCATTGCTGGAATAGGAGACGAGGATCGTGTCCTGCTCGTTGTATCCAATCTGTGTAATAGAAAAGTATCATTGGTAGCTAGTTAAAATCATATTGTTGTTCATTGGTAGCTGAATTCCAACTTCAGCAATTTTACACTTCTTTTTCTCAATGTTTGTGAATTACTGTAAATGAACATATTTCAGTGGTAATCTTAATCAAGCACTTTTTGCACTGGAAACATTGTGCTAAAATATGAATACGTTTAATGTAATTTCTGTTTGTTAATGATTTAACAATCATCGTGGATATGCTAATTCATCAATGCCCTTTATTTACCAAAAATTAATCTTGTGCTAAAATCTGATTCCACCAAATGAAATTTATATACAAACAAATATATATGCCACAGATTGTGAGTTTGAGGTCTGGATAAGGTAACAAAATGTTTTCCTTTGTTAGTTGTGCTACAATGTCCAAAATAGATATACATACAAACATATACTGCATTTTAAATCTATCTCCTTTCTCTTACCTTTATGTTTGTAATATTGCCAAACTTAGAGAAGTGTTCGTTGACTTTAGAAATATTACAGCAATCTTTCGGCACTTTGGTGACTTGGAGGGTAGTATTGGATGTATCAATGTCAGGACGTCGGTAGCCTATCAAATGAAATAAGATTAATGTCAGGATACTCTTAACCTATCAAAGCAGGTAACATTAATGTTAGGACACTCTTAACCTATCAAAGCAGGTATCATTAATGTTAGGACACTCTTAACCTATCAAAGCAAATAAGATTTATGTTAGAACACATTTAACCTATCAAAGAAGGTAACATTAATGTCAGGACGTCGGTAACCTGTCAAAGGAAATAAGATTGATGTCAGGACACTGGTCTATTTCAGGAAATACCATTTAATGTTATGCTGATAACTTGTCATAGGAGATAAAATTAAATGCCAAAACTGCTGGTAACTGGTCATAGGGAAAGGGGAACATTATTTAATGGGAGGACACTAATAAATTGTCAAAGGTCAACAATGAAGGAATGATTTCTCTCGAGAACATGAGATTATGTATTTTTATACAAGGATTCCCTTGTTTTGAGATCCTCTGTGTTATAATAAATATAGTTTCCAAGTGACAGTAAACACAGGGTATTTTTTCAGCCTTACTTACAGAATGGTTACAGATTGGTAACAGAAGCCTCTTCAAAATCAAAGGTTTGTGATTTACATATACATTTCTGTATCTGAAATGGTGAGGTGAAAGGGAGCGCAGATAGTGCAATGCTATCCTAATGTCTACTTCATGATATGGAAATGTACATGGTTACCAGCATTTCTGCCTACCATGATTTGTAGAAGTTGGATTTAACATATGGTAAGATCATGCATACCTCCTACACGACTGTAGTCAAATGGTTTCTTGGCCTGAGGAGGGCCGTAACGGTTGGCTGCATAGCGATTTTGACCCCCATACTGATCAGATTGGTTCTGACCTGGTCCATGACTAGAGTTGTAAGCTCTCTTTGGAGCAATGACTGTCCTTTCTGGGGGCTTTTCTACAACAGCAGGCTTTCCTACAGGCTCTGTACCAGGGGGAGCTAAGGAAGCTTCCTCTTCTTCTGTAAAAATGTGACAGAGGTTCTTTATTTGTTATCCTTGACTTAACTAACAAAGAAGCCAAGGCAACCTTTGTCACTCAAGCATAAGTGTAATGAAACATTCTTGGTAAATAATCATCACATTTAAAGCAATATCACAATTATCTCTCCACTTTAGGTCGCACTGCCTTATCCATGTTGGAGACTTGGATATGGTGATGAACTTTCATGTAAAATTCAGTTGCATTGTGATTACCTCTCTTCCCAATTACACCATTTTGAAACTTCAAAACAAATTCTAGTATTTTCTACATTAATGATAAATAAATTGTCTCAAACTTCAATTACAACGTCAACATTTGTATAAATCGACATATAAAGTTGAACAATAATGAGGTAAATTATCTACCAGAAAAAAGAATGAATGATGGATAAATGAACTCAGAAACTGATGCTCCACTTATTTCTATGTATCCAGTAACATTTTAAATGGGCATATAATAACAGAAAGAGTATTATCAAATGTTCAAAACAGAAGATACATCATACCTTTAACTTCCTCTGCCTCAGGAAGGGTGGGTATACTGACTAGGTGATCTCGTCTGCCTGGATTAGAGGGTAGTGGTGGGGGAGGACCAGAGAGAAAGTGAGGTGGTGGTGGTCCTCCCCTTCCAATCCCTGGTGGGGGTCCTCGAGGGCCATTCCAGAAAGGACCAGGCCTAGGACCTTGAGGTCTTGTGATTCCTGGAGCTTCAGGATTGTAAACTTCAAAATTGTCTGAAATTTATCAAAATGAAACTGCAAACAAACATTGAAATTTTTTTTTTTTCAAATATTGCTGTCAAATTGGCTTTAGCAACTCCCAAAATTGCTATTTGTCTCTTATGATCCCTTTAAATGCCTTCAACTAGGGTTTTTTTTAATCATCTTTGGTCTATGCAGCAACCAGGAAAATTTCTTTGTATCGGTTTTCATGTTTGTCAATAGAAAGAGTTTTCAAGATGATGTTAAGCTTTTGCCATCCAACAGGAAGACAATTGTTTATATTAGTGCACTTTTTTATCTGCAAGAGTGCAATTTCTGCATTTAAAAATCTTTAGGAGGAATTATAATAATGTTACTCACCTAGCCTTGGTGGAGGAGGTCGTGGTCCTGGCCCCATTCCTACTCTTGGCATGCCAGGTGGGGGACCATGTGTGGGTGGCATAAATCGGGGGCCAGAAACCATTGGGCCAGATCCTGGAGGGAGGTTAGTGCTGTTACTAACAGGCGGTGGTCCTGTAGTGTCAATACAAATTTAACATTTACACTATGGAAAACCTCTGTATCAAACATTATAAAGACATTATATGCTTGACTTATAATGAGAAATAACAGCTTCTATGGTCAAGATAGGATGCTTATTTGGTGAACATTCTTTCCCAGCTAAGCTACAGATATGGATCAACACTAGTCTATCAAAAGTTCAGATGAAACTTAAAAAATAATCAATATGAGAACTTCCTAACAAATGGGTATGTCATAGTGAGAATTACAGTATACCCACACCTTGAATAGGCAGATTATCTTACCTGGGGGTGGGTACGGTATACCAACAGTTGGAATAGGGACATCCTCAACTATAACAGGGTCCAATCCATGATCATAAGGACATAGATCTCCCCGCATACAGAAACCTTTCTCTGTAAATATAGAAAACAGGTTACATTGATGAAGTTCAGCTTGTCCTTATTTGATAATTTCAATTCTGATGGCGAACTTTTCAAACACTAACTTGGTTAAACCCAAAATATAAATTACACAGTGTCATACAGAAATATTCGTATGAAATAGGTAGAATGCATTAATCTAACTTCCAAGTACAAATGTAGTTGGTAGCGGCAGCCAATCTTGACAAGATATATAAAACAACACAGCCATGACAACTATTTCATAATTTCAAATGGACAATAACAACAATGGGTCAATTCAAAACAAAATTTCATTAAGTTTGAAGTCCATAATATTGACTGCTGAAAATATCGCAATTACAAAATCAAGATCAGACGAGGTACGAAAGGGTCATTTATTCCATGAAATTGTTCACATATGAAGTGAATTAAAAACCTATTGAAAAGATTTTCTTTAACTGAATAGAAAATGATTGTGTATCATTTGTTTAATTATTCAAAAATGTTCTGCCACAGTATATATATTAAAGTACATTACTTTTGAAGTACCAATTAGCAGGTTAAGTATTGGTTAGCTTTCTTAGCCATGGTAATGAATTACTTACCATCATAGTCTTTACACCTGGGGCGTATATCACGTCCTGCACTGTCAGTGGTGAGGCAGCGGTCCCCATGAGCCATGGAGTAGACACCACCACCTACAGCGGGAATACTGTGGCTATATCTCCCATTGTCTAGTGTTGGTGTAGAACCACGGCTGTCAAGTTGGGGTCTCCTTCCTGAAAAACCAAAATGACATGTAAGGAAGGATACCATCATGCATATAAACAAAACAAGTTAAATTTTGAGAAGATGAGCAAATAGTAATGATGAACTGGCAAGTCTTGCTGCAAAAACAAGGTTTATGAAAGTAAGAATAATGGAAAACAGTCTGCTATCAAAGTTCCAAATCATACTGGTTGATTTCACCAACCTATCTGAAATTAAGATAACTTTGGTATAGAGAACAACTTTATGCTAATGATATCAAATACACATTTAATCTGATAGCAAAAATGAAAACAGTTCAGAGACAGTGTTCCCATCAAACAACATTTGTTGGCAAAAACTTGCCTCTTATACATTTACTCTGAAACAGCTACTTTTAAGAAATTATCATGGTTAATTCTTAACAAGTCAATTTTTTAGTCTGCTTTTGTTTCAGCTTGTTTTAATGAAAATACTGCGCAAAGACAGTGAGAAAATTCTATTTATAGTAATGATAACCCTGTTCTTGACCCCAAAAGCTTACAAAACAAAGCTGTCTTATATATATGGTAGTGATTAGAAAGTGGACAGGATATTCAATGTCAATAAGAAATCATATATATACTGTGTTTCCACCTCAGATGAACATAAGCCAATACAAAAGGTGAACAAATAAAGTTTAGCAAATATTTCTATTTAGTACTCTTTTGACTTCTTATTGGAGAATATTCATATATATTGAATCCAGCCCTAAGCTCAACCCACCTCTTGACCTTGATCTTGACCTTGACCTAGATCTTGATCTAGATCTAGATCTTGAGCGTGGAGTCCATGACCTAGATCTTGATCTGGACAGTGGTGTCCATGACCTTGCTCTATATGGAGATCTTGACCTTGAGCGTGGGCGTCTTCTGTATGGACTTCTTGATCTAAGAGGACTCCTTGAGTATCTCCTAGGACTGCGTGATCTTGACCTTCTTCTGTAGTATCGCCTATCACCTGGACCTCTGTCTGGACCCCTGTCTGGACCCCTGTCTGGACCTCTATCAGGACGATCAGGTCTGTCAGGTCGGTCTACACGATCTTGCCCTCTGACCACTCTAGGCATGGTATGATCCACTGGCCCAAACCTGTCTCTTCTTCTCTGCCTCTCTTCCCTAACAAATATTAAATTGAGAGCTTCCAAATTTGTTTTGATTAATGGTTACAACTAAAGGAAAATCTTTGGAAATAAGAGTCACAGTAATCAGTAATTGTTTAATGACCATATTGATCATTATGATGGAAATTAATCAAGGAAAAATGCACATTTAAGTAGGAAAAGAGCAAAAATCTTATGTAATTACTAGTCACTGAAATCTTGTATAATGACTAAATGTTCTGACCAGTCACCAAAATCTTGTATAATGACTAAATGTTCTGACCAGTCACCAAAACCTTGTGTAATGACTAAAAGTTCTGACCAGTCACCAAGACCTTGTGTAACGACTAAAAGTTCTGACCAGTCACCAAAACATTGTGTAATGACTAAAAGTTCTGACAAGTCACTAAAACCTTGTGTAATGAACAACAATTTTCTTTTTTAGTCTCCAAAACCTTGTTCTAATCTCTCCTTCCTTGGTATGGTGACTTACTGTTCACGTCTCTCCTGACCTGGAAGAATGACGTACTGTTCACAAATCTCCTGACTTGGTATATTGACTTACTGTTCACATCTCTCCTGACTTAGTATAATGACTTACTGTTCACATCTCTCCTTCCTTGGTATGGTGACTTACTGTTCACATATCTCCTGACCTGGTAGAATGACTTACTGTTCACATCTCTCCTGACTTAGTATAATGACTTACTGTTCACATCTCTCCTGACTTAGTATAATGACTTACTGTTCACATCTCTCCTGACTTAGTATAATGACTTACTGTTCACATCTCTCCTGACTTAGTATAATGACTTACTGTCCACATCTCTCCTGACTTGGTATATTGACTTACTGTTCACATCTCTCCTGACTTAGTATAATGACTTACTGTTCACGTCTCTCCTGACTTGAAGTCCTGGTACGTCGTGTCTTAACATCTTTATCTTTATTGTCTTTCACAACTTTATCTTCACTCTAGATGAAATAAGACAATTTTGGTTATCACTACATTTGAAATCATTGTAATGTATAATTTCTTTAGTTTAAGTGTTGTAACTCAAACCTGTGGATATGACCAGTATTGTCTTGTGACTACTTTCAACATCCTAGACGGACTAGAACAGGCATATTATTCTTCTAATAAAATGGAACAGTAATGGATATGCATTTATGGACCAACAAAAATGTTACCATCCTAGTATTTCTTAAATCTTATCAAGACCAGAAAATGATTGTAACAGCCCAATAATTATGATGGACTAAAACTTACAGTGGGAAGACAAAAAGTTGATGAATATAGTTGGTTGACCCACACTCAAGTTCAATCAACAATTTGATTTTGGATAGAATTATTTGATGTTTACCTGTGTTGTCTCCTTTTTCCCCTCTGCCTTGGCCTCTGAGGGTTTGAGTAAGTTAGCACTGGCTTGTGTTGTACTGTCTGGGACTGCTTCTGTTTTAACAGGTACACTGGATGGTGATGGTGCTGCTGGTGCTGGTGGTGGTGGTGGTGGAATGTAGGATTTATCTCTTAACACTTGGAAAAAGGATGCAACAAAATCTTTTGTTTCTGAAAAAAAATTAATATGAAAAATATCAGAAAAATAGAAATTCAACCATATGTCTGTTTAACTAAGTATTATGCGTTTTCAGTTATGGCAAATGTATGAACTATTTTTTAAATTAAGATAAAATTCATTATCAGTGTTAAATACCAGGAAGGAAAAAAAGCAAATGAATTTGTTTATTAATCAAGCTAGTTAAACATACCCAGTTCAGACATCATTATATGAATAATTGAAAAAATAACTTACTGCTTTGAAGAAAAACATCCAACTGATCTAAGAAAACTGCTTCAAGCTCCTTTTCTGTTTTGTCTTTTTTGAGGAGAGCAACCACATATTTTGCGAGGGGATCAGGGTCAGCATCACATCTGTAAACAAAAGAGAAGACAATACTTTATGAATAAGTAAAAACCAAACAAGATTTTTAAAAATTAACAATAACTTTAAAAACAAAAAAATAAAAAATCAATATCATATCCACACATCTTTCCTATACTATCTGTGATTATCACAATTATTTTAATGCCATTGGATACTACTGCTCATAGCTCAAATATTAATTCTGATCATTGGAAGTGAAGAAAGTTGTGATCAGTTCTGACCTAAAATAAGTGTTTTGGAACTAAATAAAATGTTTTTGATACTAATGATAAAAGAATTTCATATCTAATTATCTATATACATACATAAGTGTTTTTTCAAAGTGGGAACATTGACACCAAACAGCCAGAAAATGCTATTTGATGACACTTAGGCCAGAATTTTGCCTAAACTTGGCAACTGCATTCCTAAAAATTCTTGAGGTCATACCATTTCTAAACTCTATGTGCTGGTGTGTTACAGAACCAGAAGCAGTTACAGAACTTTATTTTTTTCTGCTTTTGTCATACAAGGACAGTACTTTATGATTATGTCAACAATATGTTTTCATGAGCATTGTAACTGCCATCTGCTTGCATGAGGACTTTTATTTCATTGCAAAATTGTTACATACAATAACATTCACCATTTATGCAACTCTAGCATTTACTCCCAGCTTAACAGATGACTTGCAAAAAAATTAGACATGATTATTTGAATGACAGAATGTCTGGACTTATTCTAAGTAGATGAAATGTAATTGAAATATATTCATTATTATCAAGTGATAAATCAGAATTATCAGAAATATGCAAATCAGCATTTGAATATCCAATATGATCATAAATTTAATTTATGCAGTGTCTATAGGCAGTACAAAGGGAAAATGAAAAGAAAAAATGTTCATTATATTTATAGGAACAACATGCATCTGAGATCATAATTCATCATTATTCAAATCACAGGCATTACCATGTCATTGACATAATAACATCTCTAGGTTTACAGGAGGACTGAAACAACATTTAATGGCATTTAAGGATGTACTCCTTTATGTTTGATAGAAAGTAATAAATCATTCAATTTAAAATGAATTCCAACATAAAATCTGGGACTTTTGTGTTCTGACTCTCTTAAAAAGGGGCAATTTTAATGAAATTTTGATGAAATTACCATCAACAATTTCAATGTATTCAGGTACTTCTCTAGAGTATAACTTTGGAAGTCTTGGATGGATTTCAAGTAAATTCATCACCATAAAGCACAGATTTCAAATATATGAATTCTGACTTTGTAGATCACTTTCCCAGAATTTTAGGACCTGCAAACAAAATTCCAGGCTGTTTCTTAATAGTTGGAAAAACTTGCCATTTGGGAGAAAATTGCAAAAGGTTAAGTACAGAGGCCAATTCGTTTTCAATCAAGAAAAGTATCCTTACAAATTTCTTTATCCAACCTTATAGTTTTTTTAAAACTTTTAACACAAGATGGTCAAGGAAAGGGTTCAAGTCATTCTGAAGCATTATCCTTTCTTGATTGCTCTGCAGTTCAAAGCTTGTTAAATCAATGAAAACTTGACTTTTTCATATATTTTTTTTTATCAATATCCAAGCATCATACCCTTCCTTTTAATGAAAGATGAAAATTTATTTAAAAAAAAAGGTTGCTGCGAAAACACAAACAATATGAGAAAATGAACTATTTCCTGTTACACATATTCTGCCACCTTTACCAGAAAAAGTAGACAGGCAACATGTTGATATTTTACTATCAATCTACTACCTTAAATAAAACCTTTCAAAAAATCATCAGTAAAAAGTTTAATACTGGAACTTTTTTACTTCTCTGTAATAACAATTTGATGGACAATGGCTAAAAGTTTCTATATCTGTATTTAATACTTACATACTACATAGTACCAATGATTTGTCCTATGAAATGTATAATAGCATACATAAAAGTAACAGATTATGTTCTGGAAATGAACATCAAATATATCCATTTTGAAACTTCTTTCTCAGCTCTTGCCAATTGTAGGTATTGCAACACCTTATAACAATGATATATCACCATTTGATGCAGATGCTTGGTAACTGTAGCAGTCATGTGTTGATAATAATGTTCCTAAATTCCTTATTACAAAATTTTGAGTTAGAAACTGTCTATTTAGTGTTTAAGATATTATGGGAGAAAAAATAATGGAATGGTTTGCACAAAATCACCTGCTGCTAGACTACCACTTTTAAAGATATAGCTGTGTAATTGACAAGGTACAGAGAATCTAGCTACTGTGTCATGAAATGTTCGCCAGCAGAGAAAGACTGAACCAAAAATATAAAAATCATCACACCCCCGATTGTTTCTAGACGTGACATTTGTATTTACATGTTCATAAAAAAATCCGAAAGCAGCTACCGAATGACTATCATCAAAAGATGCTACCAGATATGACGCATTTTTTGATAAGTTATCTTGTAAAAATCGTTAGTTTGATGACAATATAGCCAGAAATGACGACAGAAAACACTTATTTGACATTCCGAATCTCTACAGAACAGTACGTAATGCAAGGCATATGGCCTATTTGGTCAATGGTCGTTAGCAGCGACTATAGCACATCATACCTTTATAACAGCACATTTGTAATTAATAAAATGCTAGTTAAGGTAATGACCAATAAAGTCAACAACTTCTGAATGAATTTCTATCAATTTTGATATGCTACAACAAATGAACCAGCCTTTACTGTAGACATAGCCCTGAGTCTTACATTGGAGTCAACGTTTTCGTGAGCCAGACTTTCAACGCGTCCAAATTTTCGACGATCATTTTCATACAAAAAGCTGTAGGTCAGGGCATATGCAATCCTTTCAAATAATCGCATATCTCGTTGACGTCAGCTGCATGGCATTACACTTTGGAAATGAATGATTTTACAACTAAGCAAGTCGACATGTGTTTACTTCTACTGAGACGTTCGTATACGATACCGAAAAATGGCGTCGTACTCTCGTTTTATATCACGTGACTTAACGAATTTCATTGAAAACATGTTTGATTAAAATATACGATATGACATTAATGGTGTAAACCAAATCTTGTTTCTTCTATTTAATTGCTAAATATATCGGACGAAATCCAATAAGAATGGAAAGAATCATCGATGGAAAATTAATTGCGATGAAACTGATATATTCTCGCGATATTACAACGAGACTACAGCACGTGTGGACAAAGTGAAAGCAGGTTGCAAGATGTATATCGTATGGTGAAACCGTACACTTTATTATGCCACCAAAATCAAAGACCCCAAAGTTGGAATGGCAGCAATGTGTTCGATGTTTATGTATCATAAACATAAGAGACGTGTCAAAACATTCCAAAGAGTGCCAGAATACAACAGATAAGGAACAATTTCAACATGGATATATTTGGAATGACACATTGCATGGAGTGATCTCCCCTTACCATAAAGCTGACGGTAAAGACTAATATTATGACTTCCATAAGAATAGGTTAATTTGATATTGTTTGTAATCAAATACAGAAGAGGTCACATACAGGTTTTGACACTAGTGTAGGAAATATTACGGATGGTCAGATTAGTGACTGCTACGATAAGTTCTACATACACAAGACTTGAGATAGGATATTCTCATATGCAGGAGGAAATTAAATTCACTGAAAAGGAAACAAACAAAACATAGAGTACAATAAACATCTGCCTAAACATGAATAAGTAATGCTAGATAAATACAGTGAAATTAAAAGAGATAGGTTAATGGTGTTATTATGAAACAAAAGTATACGGGGTAAAACTTTAAAGATTAAATAATATATAATTATATAGCAGTGTGTCAATCGGAAGGACAGGTGATTGGACCAGATACTACCAGCCTAGCTCTATAACACCAAACTTGGGACTAAGTAACCTCAACCGAAGAATTGGCATCATTTGTGTTTAGGAAAGAGCTACCCGAGAAAAGGAATGGTCAAAGTTGTCGAAGTTGTGTCAATCATGCGACACTTTTACATTTTTCACTGATTAAATAGGTGGGAACCCGACCTCGAAGTGAACCTTGCTGTTCCTGGGGTGATAAACCTGATAAAACAAAGCATATACATTCTAAAATGAAACAATACATCAGTGTTAACAAGTAGCAATAGAATACATACTCGCTCAAGCTGACTCCAACACAAGACCTTTTCCAACTAAAACCCATAACTTCTACAAAGGACACAGATAGATATTCCTCCTCCAGCCCCAGAACAATGTTACAGTGGAATCTGCTGCCATTTGCAGTAGTGAATGCAGTACAGGGAACTTGAAGAATTCAAGACCTATATCCCCTATGGAGCTTTCAAAGCCGTGGCACAAACAAAGTAAAACAACATCCTTCTTTTAGTTCCTATACCCCATTTCTTAAAAGAAAATTGAAGACAATGCTCCAAAATTTGATTGCACCAAATTAAATCTGTTTACAGTAATTGAAAACTGGTACTTAACCAGGTTGATCAATTGGTGCTGCAACCAGGATAGTTCTAATTAGTGATTCCTTATCTATTATGAGATGGTGCTAAAACAAGGAATAAAGTTATACTGCAGTCACTGAGTTAGGATCGTAAGCTTGATGTAATTCTGATAGCAGAATAATTATTATACCACTATGCTGTAATCAGAATCATTTCTGTTTGATTCCTCTGTGAAACACCATATTAAATAATAAAGAATTACAGCCAGGATTTTAGACTTAATGTAATTATCCTACCAGTTTTTGCAATGTCCTATTGTGAAATGAAACTGCAAACATTTTTAATTTCAAATTGTATTTCCTTTCATTATTCTTTATTACAGGACCAAGTCTGCCAAGTCAACTGAGGGATGACATCATCTTACTGAATGTAAGCTCCATGATGATGTGTGGCCTTTCAATTGGAAAGCCATGCATTGTTGATGAGCGATATGTCAGAATAGCGTGGCCCTCTGCCTCAGTGGCACCAGGCACTGTACAAGTCCCTGAGGACACCCTGGTTATATTAGGGAGACAGTTGGGAGATCTGGTCACAGTCACTGCTGTCCAGGATGCACCACAAATGGCTGCTAATGTGATGTTGTCACCAAGGTAAAGTCAATTACTACAGAGTTTGGAAAACATTTCATGACATCATTTTCTTTCCATCATTGTCAAATTTTCACCTTAAGATTTCATCATCTACAAAATTTCTGTTGAGATAGAGAATTAAATTACGTTTTTAGATTTTTTTTCTTCATCAATAAAACAATGGACATGGTTGGAATTATACATTCCAGTTTGGACAACAAACAACAAAATTTGCCTGTGATGAAATGATCCTGTTGTACATATACGCTATACTTGATCACAATAAGTTGACAAAATGTTTTTTAAACTGTGACTTATTTGGAGAGGGCTTTGTTATATCTGTCTATAAGGATGTTTTAGTATTGGATTATAGTATGATTATAGTGTCAGAGTCTTTTGTGTTCTTGGGTTAGCAATAGTATTTTTTCTGAGGTATGCAATAATTTTGTACTGAAAAGGTTTAGCTAATTGTGGAAGCGTTTTGTTTGTTACTGATATTTCAATGTTATATATTCAATTAAATTTGTTGTTGTGAATAATACAGGTGCAAGTTCTACAGGTAGCTTAAATAAAGCAAGTTTTCAACTGGTTCGATGGATAGGTAGTAATATGAACTTTTGTTTATTTTAAAACAATTGCGAAACAGGCTTTAAGCCTGTATTAATCACTCTTGTAATTGGGGCTGGAAGGAGTGCACAGGAGTCTTAATTACTGTGGAAGTAAGCCCAAATAACCATGTGGATGAAGGGTGCCCCCATGCCCTTTCAGGAATCAAATGTCTAGGTGAAAGATGAATACCAACTGATGTAGATGAAATACGAATATGCTACCACTGTGCTGCCCAGTCATGAAGTGGTATTGATTCATATTGTTATTTGAATTTGAAACTTTCCATGACGTAATCTTAAAGTTGTAAATAACTGAGCTTCATGACTTTGGCTCTTACTCTTGATCATGCAATAATGATAAATAAAAATGTTTTCTTATTGTTGCTTCAGAGAATGGAATGACGTGTTGGGAGATGGTCAATTTGAAAAATACCTGAAACACCATTTGTGTATGTATTCATTGAGTTCTGCAACAGAAAATGAAGTTTTCCTCATTTTCTTCCAACACTTCATAACTTTTACCAAATTAAAGATCCCATTCTTATGTGCACACAGGTTTAACATCTCTAGAGTAATATTTATTTGTGTACGTGAGATGAGTATAATGTATTTCTTTGTTGTACAAGTTATCATCTGAAATCAAGTTTATCTCCAGTTAGTACTATGTAAAATCCTCTACACTGATAAACCAAACAATGACAATTGTGACTTTCGGTTTCACCACAGACATTTATGATCATACATAAGACATCTTCCAAATTCAGAATATTCGATGATGCAATCCAACAAACCAATTTACTTGCTTGATTTTGTCAGCACAACTGACATTGGATATTTTATCATGACTTGATTAAATTGTGAAAAAAAAACGAAAATGTTTTAATCTTTTAGTAGTTTAATGTTATTGATTATGATTAATTCAATATATAAATTTCATAAAAGTCAAAGAAATCAAATTAGGTTTAAACATTCCACATAATAACATCTTGGTATATACAGATACTTGTATCAGGGTGTGATACAAGAAATAGATTATAAGTTACTCTACAGCCCTTTAACCCTTCATTAATTATCTCAGGTATCCAGATACATTCATTCAAATCAATTACCAGGTTTGAATACAAAACATATCTTTTTATATCTCATAATGAGATGGTTAGGGCTGCAGCTTATTAGTAAAGAACAGACTTTATGTTTACTAAAAAAATTGATATAAATGAATTTGTTTTCTTTACCAGGTGGAAGATCTTTTACTCTTGGCAATGATGTGAGCATGTGTTATTATGGACAGAGATGTCGACTTCAGGTTGCAGAGATCAGTCCGTGGAATGCTTGTGAGGAGAAAGTCCATGTCCAATGTAAAGAATCAGACACTGCTGAAAGCAGGCTACAGAATCTGACCACAGATTTATCAGAACTAGATCTATCTGCTGATTCTAGTTTGTCTTTTTTAGACAAATCAGACACAAGTGTTACATCTACACCACTGAGGGGCTCTGACAACAAAAGCTTTAGTACTGAGAGTGTGTCTTCTCCCTCCTCTTCTAGTACTCCAGATGTGAAAAGTCGATCTCTGATTGATGCAAACTTTCAGACACCTCAAAAGACCACAACCGACAATGCTCTGAAAAACATTCAAAAGACATTCTATAAAATAACTGCAAATACAAGAGTTGTCATTTCTAAACCAATCACAGATCAAGAGAAAGTTTCGCAGGAGAAGAGATTTGTAACATTTGATATGATTGGAGGCTTGTCAAAGCAAATATTGTCTTTGAAGGAGATGATAAATCTACCCCTTCATTCTCCAGAAGTGTTCAAGTCTTATGGCCAGTAATTGTGCAGGATTAAAATGGATTGTTTCAACATAGAGTTCTAGTCCGTAGAAGTTTAATGTTAGCCTTTTTGGTACCAGTGTTGTTAAGTTGAGTGTGTAATATGAGTAATTTTTAATTCCTCCTGTGTACCAGTAATCTTAGAAATATGAAAATAATACTTTTTCAATCTCTACATGATGTTTTATGTGGATTGAATCAAATATGGTTTACAATTGGGAGTCCTGAAGTTCAGAAAAGTTCCTGTTATTTGATAAATAATATCCATTTTGATATCATTACAGGGTTGCCACTGCCTAGAGGAATCCTCCTTTTTGGTCCTTCTGGTACGGGTAAGACCATGTTACTGAAGGCTGTTGCCAATCAACTAGGTGTTCATGTCATTGATATCTGCTCCTCCGACATTATTAGCAAGTAAGGGAACTCAAACTGTCTTTTACTTTTTTACTCTGGAATGTATTTACATTATTAGCAAGTAAGGGGACACAAAGTATCTTTGAAGTTTTTACTCGAATGTGTTTACATTATTAGCAAGTAAGGGGACACAAAGTATCTTTGAAGTTTTTACTCGAATGTGTTTACATTATTAGCAAGTAAGGGGACTCAAAGTATCTTTGAAGTTTTTACTCGAATGTATTTTCATTATTAGCAAGTAAGGGGACTTGAAGTGTTGATCACATTTTCAATCTATAACATATTTTCCTGTAAATAATGTGATCTCAAAAAGTTATAATCTTAAGAAACCAGTTCATAATATAATGAGAGTCATAAGTTCAAATATCTTCAGCAAAGCTTGGTAAGTAGAGTTTGTTTTTCGATATGGCGGTCAATGAGATAGATGCTGCATTTTTTGTGCTGAGTTTTTTGAAGTGATTACAGTCTACAACAGTTACATGTTATTATTTTGTTACATCTAGTAAAGGAACAACAGAAATTTGATTTTATTGTTGTAGGTTTTATGGAGAGTCGGAGGAAAATATGAGAAATGTGTTCAAAGAGGCAGAAGAAAGGTAAGAAAGCAAAAATGATCAATCAAATGATATTCTTAAAATAAGAATTATACACAATTGGGTTTTAGGAAATAATTAAACTGTGGAGATATTGTGGTTACATGTACAGATGAATATTTAAAATGAGTTCCCCTGTGAATGTGAGAGAAATTGATTTAGAAGAAATTCACTGAGGATTTAGATGTCAAAAACATTTATTTGTTACCACTGTTGGATACTTATATAATATATATTCCTGTGTTATTTATACCTGAAGTCTGTACAAGTTCTATTTGACAAGGTTGTTAGTGTAATAACAATGATTTATAAGTTATATTTTGCTAACTGAAAGGTCACAACATGATTTATCTCTACTCTTATTTCCTGAGAATTCATGCGTAGATCTTTCTTAAATTGCAAGCGTAGAAGCCCCTTGGTCCCTGATTGCTACTGTGTGATTTTGGGTCTGATCAGAAAAACTGGATCGCTGTGTGTTTTACCAGTTGATGGCCATAAAAACTTTCATGTGTTGACAGGCCATTAAGAATGTAATATAATAATAATAATAATAATAATATAATCAGAAAACAAAATGGCTGCCAGACGGCCATCTTGAATTTTGATTTTGAAAGTTTATTATCGCTATTTCTTGAGAACTCAAACATCTCAAATTTCATGTCTATGGTGTCTTGATCCCTAGTTATGCCTGTTTGAGTTTGGGATTGATCAGAAAATAAAATGGTCAACAGTCTACCATCTTTGATTGTGCCTAGTAAAGACTGAAGGACTGTATGGATCTCTCTCAAATTTCATACATACATTTCTTTTGTTCTCTACTTGTGTCTGTTTGATTTTGGGACTGATCAGAAAAAAACAAAATGGCTTCCAGGTGACCATCTTTGGTTTGGCAGATAAAGATTATCATTGCTTTTTCTGCAAAGGAATGTTCAAATTTCTTTAAGATCAAAAAGAGAGAAGAGAAGAGTATTGTGGGAAAAGATCCAACTTTCAAAGAGCAAATAAAGATCAAACAATGATGGGCTCCAAGATCCCTCTGGTTCTCTTGTTTTAAATATAGCTAACTCCACTAAAGGAGATACCATATACCACAATCACACATTGTGTAACCTCAGGTTATATAGTGTTTAATGTAAACTGATAGCTTGTTTCACAATCGTTGAAAAATAAATGAATGTTTATGTGATATAAGTATAGGCTACAGGTCATCAGCAATTATCATTATGGATGATGTTGATTCCCTGTTTCTACAGGTCACCAACCATTATCATTATGGATGATGTTGATTCCCTGTTTCTACAGGTCACCAACCATTATCATTATGGATGATGTTGATTCCCTGTTTCTACAGGTCACCAACCATTATCATTATGGATGATGTTGATTCCCTGTTTCTACAGGTCACCAACCATTATCATTATGGATGATGTTGATTCCCTGTTTCTACAGGTCACCAACCATTATCATTATGGATGATGTTGATTCCCTGTTCCCACGGCGAGATACCTCACAGAATGAGTCTCAGAAACGCCTTGTAGCGACACTTCTCACTTTGATGGATGGAATCGACAGGGTAAGTATACTTCGCAGTAAATTTAATGTCAGTAATTTCTGTTTCCATCATTTATTGTATTGAAGAACTTATTTCTACTTAGAAGGCATGTACACCAGTCATTCACATGCTGCTGATTATTGCATCCATAATCTGTACCTAAATGATATAATGTTTTAATGTCCTCTATGAAAGTTATAAAAAATACTGAAGATTACAGGAGAAGACAGGTAAATATTTTGACCTGTAGTTGATCCCACTTATTTATTTGCAATATGTTAAAGGTACTTTTTAACTGCATTCTTTATGTTATCTATTTGTCTTTACCAATAAGTTTCCATGACCCCTCAGTACAGAGTTATGATCCTTTATTTAACTTTTGTGTCATAAGCATAGCTTTGCTTGTATTTACTAGGATCTTGAAACTTGGTGTATACAGTGGTCATATCAAGAGAATGTGCTGTATACCAAATTCAGGATCTGCAACCCCTTGATTACAGAACTATGAACCTTTGTTAAAATTTTGTGTTCTATAAATTCTTTTTGGGGAGCTTTCATCAGTTTCACTGATTATTGATGGTTTTACTTTCCAGGCTAGTAAATGTTTTGTGATGGTGATTGCTGCTTGTTGTATGCCAGACTCTCTTGATCCAGCCATAAGGAGACCAGGACGGTTTGACAGAGAGATAGAGATTGGCGTTCCGACAGCAACAGATAGACTGGAGGTCTTGCTATCCTGTTCCGATATCTTAAAATTTGTACAATTCCTAAGATGAACTATTTCTGTCAAAAAAAGTTCTTGTAAAATTTGTAATTTGTTCTTTTAAGAAATCAAATGTTTCAAATAACATTACTGTGTCAAGGACACCAAAAGCAATAACATATGACACCATGAGGGTATCAAAGTAAATGACTAATATAGATTGAGGTATACTGTCCGATGGAATACCTTAGTTTATGGTCAGTGAGTAAGACATACAGTCTTGTAAACATCTCAGATTTTGTGTCATTGATTTACATACTTTTTTGCTTCTGGTAAAAATGAAGTGTGAATATAATACATTTTTATGTTATAAAGTTTACACCATTAATTACATGTTATTCCATTATGAAAAAGAATGAAAACATAGAAGTTATACTTTAATAATTATCATAACTTGCATTTTTGTAAAATATTACAATTTCAGATATTACAGTGTGTGATGTCCACAGTGCCCCATTCCCTAAGCGTGGCTGATCTTACTGCAGTGGCTGACACAGCACATGGCTATGTTGGAGCAGATCTGGCCTACGTATGTCAGCAAGGTGACATTTTTGCACTATTGATGTAGAAAGAAAGTTGACTCACTAGATGTTTCTACAATTCTTGTTAATTTGAACATTAATTACAATTTTCAGGTTCAGGAAAGAAGACTGCATTTGACTTGATAATCAGATTGGTAACCTCTGTTGCCCATCTATCTGTTAACATGTTCAGTTATTGTGACCTTGAGAAATACTGGAGGGATCAGATTTCATGTATAGGTGCCATTGGTCCCTAGTCGCATGTGCCCATTTGGTTTTGGGACTGATCAGATAAGCAAGATGACTGACATCTTGGATTTTGATCATGAAAGTTTGTTATCAATCTTTTTGGACCTTTCTCAAATTTGATCTGTGAGTTCCTTTTGGTCCATGGTTGTGTCCATTTGATTTTAAGACTAACCAGAAAAACAAAAAATTGCTGACAGGTAGCCATCTTGGATTTTGACAATGAAAGTTTGTTGCTGCTATTTCTTGCAAAATACTGGTTGGATCTTTTCTCAAAGAATTGCTGCAGCTAGATATCCAATGCTTCTGGGAGAAATATGATGTGTAAACAAACAAAACAAAATGTTTTAAGTTTTCTTTACAATTTATATTACTTCTTTGCCTTATTAAATATTTCTGTGACAGCCAGTATCAATGCTGTGAAGAGAAATCTTCGTGACCATGAGGAACTAGAGACAGAGCCGACTGCTGTCATTACAAGGGAGGATATAGCTGTTGCTATGACAACTGTTCAGCCTAGTGCCATGCGGGAGGTACAGCTAGAGATTCCCAAGGTCAGTTTATACGAAGGTCAAACTTAACCAGCAAGTTAAGACCAATGTTATATTAAACTACAGAAAGATCTGAAATCCCAATGGTCAGCTTATTTATCTTTTGTGTCAAATTTCAACAGCTAGTGAGATCAAGGTCAAACTTCAACAGCTAGTTATATCAAGGTCAAACTTCAACAGCTAGTTATATCAAGGTCAAACTTCAACAGCTAGTGATATCAAGGTCAAACTTCAACAGCTATTGATATCAAGGTCAAACTTCAACAGCTAGTGATATCAAGGTCAAACTTCAACGGCTATTGATATCAAGGTCAAACTTCAACAGCTATTGATATCAAGGTCAAACTTCAACAGCTAGTGATATCAAGGTCAAACTTCAACAGCTAGAGATATCAAGGTCAAACTTCAACAGCTAGTGATATCAAGGTCAAACTTCAACAGCTAGTGATATCAAGGTCAAACTTCAACAGCTAGTGATATCAAGGTCAAACTTCAACAGCTATTGATATCAAGGTCAAACTTCAACAGCTAGTGATATCAAGGTCAAACTTCAACAGCTAGTGATATCAAGGTCAAACTTCAACAGCTAGTGATATCAAGGTCAAACTTCAACAGCTATTGATATCAAGGTCAAACTTCAACAGCTAGTGATATCAAGGTCAAACTTCAACAGCTAGTGATATCAAGGTCAAACTTCAACAGCTAGTGATATGAAGGTCAAACTTCAACAGCTAGTGATATCAAGGTCAGACTTTAACAGCTGGAGATATCAAGGTCAGACTTGAAATAGCTAGAAAGCATCAAGATCAAATTTCCTAAGGTCAAATTCACTAAAAATGGACTGGTAAGAAATCCAAAATGTCTGACATTATTGGCTAGAAATCCAAAATGTCTGACATTATTGGCTAGAAATCAAAAACATTAGACTAAAGAAGTTAGAAATTACAAACATCACACTATAAAGTAGCTAGGAATGTCATAAAATGCCTAAAAATTCACAAATTTTAAACAATTATAAAGATTACAAGTCTTGTTTAAATGCAGACCTTGACCTTTGACAATACAACTGCTCGGGAGAGATGTTAAAATTTCATATTTGTATCTGACCTTGACGTCTTACCCAGTAGGTGCTATGAAGTGATGTTTGAGTTACATGATTATATCTGACCTTGACCTCTTACCCTTTAGGTGCTGTGGAGTGATGTTTGAGTTACATGATTATATCTGACCTTGACCTCTGACCCAGTAGGTGCTATGAAGTGATGTTTGAGTTACATGATTATATCTGACCTTGACCTCTTACCCTTTAGGTGCTGTGGAGTGATGTTTGAGTTACATGATTATATCTGACCTTGACCTCTGACCCAGTAGGTGCTATGAAGTGATGTTTGAGTTACATGATTATATCTGACCTTGACCTCTTACCCTTTAGGTGCTGTGGAGTGATGTTGGAGGTCAGGAGGAGGTGAAGTTGAAGCTAAAGCAGGCAGTGGAGTGGCCACTGAAACATCCTGAAGCCTTCCTCAGGATGGGAATCAAACCTCCTAGAGGTGTTCTCATGTATGGTCCACCAGGCTGTTCTAAAACCATGATCGCCAAGGCCCTAGCCACGGAGAGTGGACTCAACTTTCTGGCTGTCAAGGTCAGCCGTTATATAAGTTGGTTGTAAACATATCTTTGTCATCATTGCTAGAATGATAGTAAACCCGACTGTCTATGTTGTATACAACTATCAAAACATAAACTTAAGCATTAGAACTATTGATTTAAATTTTGAATAACGATAGGGGTATATCTAACAAAACCAAAATATTCTGGACTTTTTTGCATGTATGAAATATTTCAAACTCCTTTCTTTTCCCCTAATTTTACTAACAATTCTTACATTACCTTTAACAAGTGTATTGGATGGAACAGACAAGAGAACTTGTTTACTATCCCACACAACTTTATGTAAATACTCTTCCCAGGTGATTTGTCTGGTGATGGTAACAGTGTACAGTCACTGAAACACCACACATACATTTCTGACTGGCTATGATATAGGTATATAGTCTTTCTGCCTACCAATCTGAAGACAACGTTTTACTGGTTATGTTTATAGGGTCCTGAGTTATTCAGTAAATGGGTCGGTGAGTCAGAGAGAGCAGTCAGAGAGTTGTTCAGGAAAGCCAGGTCTGCTGCACCATCCATTGTTTTCTTTGATGAGATTGATGCTCTTGCTGTTGAAAGAGGAAGGTAATTGTTGAAGGATTTCAAAAAAGATTTTCTAATTTTTTGAGAATTTTTGTCATGTAGACTTTAGCTAAATAAAAAAAAATGGGCACTGGGCAACTCCCAATTCTTTATGGGACAGGGGGAAGAGGATGTTTATTTGAAAAAAGATACAAAAGAGATACAGATAATGTATGAATGATGAGGACAATGTTTACAAGTGTGTGATCAAATCACCCCTTATACAATGTTTGTGTAGTCAGTAGAATTGTAACAGTGTTATCAGGACTTCATTTCTCATTTAATTTCCATGACTCTTTAAAACTATGTTTACTTAATATCACCATTGATAAGAAATGATGTCCTTTCACTCATCACTGTTCTTGTGTAAATTGTACAAATTTGACATTATTGACCTGAGATTCTAATATGAATTTTTTCATGATTTGTGAAAGTCTTTTCTGTGTTACCATGCTATAATTGTAAGCTTTTCTGTGATACCATGTGATAATTGTAAGCTTTTCTGTGTTAAAATGTTATAATTGTAAGCTTTTCTGTGTTACCATGTGATAATTGTAAGCTTTTCTGTGTTACCATGTGATAATTGTAAGCTTTTCTGTGTTACCATGTGCTAATTGTAAGCTTTTCTGTGTTAAAATGTTATGATTGTAAGCTTTTCTGTGTTACCATGTTATAATTGTAAGCTTTTCTGTGTTACCATGTGATAATTGTAAGCTTTTCTGTGTTACCATATGATAATTGTAAGCTTTTCTGTGTTACCATGTGATAATTGTAAGCTTTTCTGTGTTACCATGTGCTAATTGTAAGCTTTTCTGTGTTAAAATGTTATGATTGTAAGCTTTTCTGTGTTACCATGTGATAATTGTAAGCTTTTCTATGTTGCCATGTGATAATTGTAAGCTTTTCTGTGTTACCATGTGATAATTGTAAGCTTTTCTGTGTTACCATGTGATGATTGTAAGCTTTTCTGTGTTACCATGTGATGATTGTAAGCTTTTCTGTGTTGAAATGTTATGATTGTAAGCTTTTCTGTGTTACCATGTGATAATTGTAAGCTTTTCTGTGTTACCATGTGATAATTGTAAGCTTTTCTGTGTTAAAATGTTATGATTGTAAGCTTTTCTGTGTTACCATGTGATAATTGTAAGCTTTTCTGTGTTACCATGTGCTAATTGTAAGCTTTTCTGTGTTAAAATGTTATGATTGTAAGCTTTTCTGTGTTACCATGTGATAATTGTAAGCTTTTCTGTGTTACCATGTGATAATTGTAAGCTTTTCTGTGTTACCATGTGATAATTGTAAGCTTTTCTGTGTTAAAATGTTATAATTGTAAGCTTTTCTGTGTTACCATGTGATGATTGTAAGCTTTTCTGTGTTTAAATGTTATAATTGTAAGCTTTTCTGTGTTACCATGTGATAATTGTAAGCTTTTCTGTGTTACCATGTGATAATTGTAAGCTTTTCTATGTTGCCATGTGATAATTGTAAGCTTTTCTGTGTTGAAATGTTATAATTGTAAGCTTTTTTGTGTTACCATGTGCTAATTGTAAGCTTTTCTGTGTTAAAATGTTATAATTGTAAGCTTTTCTGTGATACCATGTGATAATTGTAAGCTTTTCTGTGTTACCATGTGATAATAACCTTTTCTGTGTTACCATGTGATAATTGTAAGCTTTTCTGTGTTACCATGTGATAATTGTAAGCTTTTCTGTGTTACCATGTGATAATTGTAAGCTTTTCTGTGTTACCATGTGATAATTGTAAGCTTTTCTGTGTTACCATGTGATGATTGTAAGCTTTTCTGTGTTACCATGTGATAATTGAAAGCTTTTCTGTGTTACCATGTGATAATTGTAAGCTTTTCTGTGTTACCATGTGATAATTGTAAGCTTTTCTGTGTTACCATGTGATAATTGTAAGCTTTTCTGTGTTACCATGTTATAATTGTAAGCTTTTCTGTGTTACCATGTGATAATTGTAAGCTTTTCTGTGTTACCATGTGATGATTGTAAGCTTTTCTGTGTTGCCATGTTATAATTGTAAGCTTTTCTATGTTGCCATGTGATAATTGTAAGCTTTTCTGTGTTACCATGTTATAATTGTAAGCTTTTCTATGTTGCCATGTGATAATTGTAAGCTTTTCTGTGTTGAAATGTTATAATTGTAAGCTTTTTTGTGTTACCATGTGCTAATTGTAAGCTTTTCTGTGTTACCATGTGATGATTGTAAGCTTTTCTGTGTTACCATGTTATAATTGTAAGCTTTTCTGTGTTACCATGTGATAATTGTAAGCTTTTCTGTGTTACCATGTTATAATTGTAAGCTTTTCTGTGTTACCATGTGATAATAAGCTTTTCTGTGTTACCATGTGATGATTGTAAGCTTTTCTGTGTTACCATGTGATAATTGTAAGCTTTTCTGTGTTACCATGTGCTAATTGTAAGCTTTTCTGTGTTAAAATGTTATAATTGTAAGCTTTTCTGTGTTACCATGTGATAATTGTAAGCTTTTCTGTGTTACCATGTGATAATTGTAAGCTTTTCTGTGTTACCATGTGCTAATTGTAAGCTTTTCTGTGTTAAAATGTTATAATTGTAAGCTTTTCTGTGTTACCATGTGATGATTGTAAGCTTTTCTGTGTTGCCATGTTATAATTGTAAGCTTTTCTATGTTGCCATGTGATAATTGTAAGCTTTTCTGTGTTACCATGTTATAATTGTAAGCTTTTCTATGTTGCCATGTGATAATTGTAAGCTTTTCTGTGTTGAAACGTTATAATTGTAAGCTTTTTTGTGTTACCATGTGCTAATTGTAAGCTTTTCTGTGTTACCATGTGATAATTGAAAGCTTTTCTGTGTTACCATGTGATAATTGTAAGCTTTTCTGTGTTACCATGTGATAATAACCTTTTCTGTGTTACCATGTTATAATTGTAAGCTTTTCTGTGTTACCATGTTATAATTGTAAGCTTTTCTGTGTTACCATGTTATAATTGTAAGCTTTTCTGTGTTACCATGTGATAATTGTAAGCTTTTCTGTGTTACCATGTGATAATTGTAGGCTTTTCTGTGTTACCATGTGATAATAACCTTTTCTGTGTTACCATGTGATGATTGTAAGCTTTTCTGTGTTACCATGTGATAATTGAAAGCTTTTCTGTGTTACCATGTGATAATTGTAAGCTTTTCTGTGTTACCATGTGCTAATTGTAAGCTTTTCTGTGTTACCATGTTATAATTGTAAGCTTTTCTGTGTTACCATGTGATGATTGTAAGCTTTTCTGTGTTATCATGTGATGATTGTTAGCTGTGTTTTTTGACAGTTCCTCAGGAGGTAGTAACGTTAGTGATCGTGTGCTGGCCCAGCTGTTGACAGAGATAGATGGTGTGGACAGTTTACAGGATGTCACAGTAATCGCGGCCACCAACCGTCCTGATATGATAGATAAGGTTGAGAAAGTCATATAGTTTTATAATGATCATTAAGTTATTTTGACTTCAGTTTGCCTTCACATGATATAGCAAACTTGAACACTTTCTGTTTGTATATTGATTTCTAAGAAAGTATTTTGATTATTTCTCGATTCCAATTAATCCTGTTCGTGCTGCAAAATTTTCTGTAAGAAAACAGGCCTAGATTTTACTATTCTTCCAATATGTTAGTAATTTTTGGGAAAGGGAGGGTTAGAAGAGTGGATGGGGAGAGTCGTTACTTTTCTGTCAGTCTCATGTACATGGTATTGTTATTTCTGTACTTTTCTGCTCCCTGAAAATTTTTAGGGGAACCCTATTTACACCATTATGTCTATCTGTCCGTCTTTCTGTCCAACCTTTCATGTCAAGAGCATAACTTTGCCCACACTTAAACAAGGATCATTGATGTAAGCATTGGTCAAACTATGGTGATATCAATGTACCAAATTCAGGGCCAGCAGCCCCTTTATTACAGCGTCAGTGCCCTTTGTTAAAATTTATATCTGTATCCAAACTTTGCTTTCATTTAAGCTAGGATAATGTATACACAGGTCATACTAAGATGATGACAGAATTATTGCCTTTTGGTAACAATTTGTGTCCAATAGAATTGTTAACGAGGAGCCTTAACCAATTTCAGTAATACCCTTATTTCTGGAGTAGCTTTCGGTTGCTTCTTCTGATACTGTTTATCATTATTCATTTACTGTGATCAGTCTTGCCTGTATATGTATGTATCTCTTGTAATCAGGCTCTGATGAGACCCGGCAGATTAGACAGGATTCTGTATGTGCCACTACCAGATATGAAGACGAGACAGGAAATCTTCAGGATCAACATGGCCAAGATGCCAGTGGACACAGAAGTTGATATAGAATCTCTGGTAAAGAAGACTACAAATTACTCTGGTGCTGAGGTAAGTTTACTGTGTATAAACAAATGTTACTTCTTATCGTGTTTTTACTAAGGATGCACATAGTGGTCACTTTCTGCATGCATTCAGGCATGAATCTGTCTATTGTTTACATCTATAACAGGTTCACACAATAGTAAGGTAAACCTCATTTGATTGTCGTAGTCTTTGACAATGTTAATAGGGCAAAGGTCACTTTTGGATGTCTTTGAATAAAAACACATATTCAAGATATTTCATAAAACACTTCAACAGATGTAGGTGATATTGGCACTATTCATCTGATCAGATTTTAGTGGACATAGGCCAAAGTACAAATGTCACACTTGACCACAACAAAAGAGATCAATAGAGGATGAATGGGGAGGGGATGGGTTCACTTTTATTGTAATGTATAACATTGTGCCTTTGTGTTGCAAGGCTTGGTATTTTGGCTATGAATCTTATCCCGTGGAATGTTCTGAAATATAAAGAGTTTTGTCTTTGTGTTACAAGTGATGTATTTTTTTTCTTGTCACCAGGTTTCATGTTTTTATTTCAGGTGTCTGCTGTGTGTCATGAGGCTGCCATGTTTGCCCTACAAGAAGACATTGACAGTCAGACTGTACATTCACGTCACTTTGAAGCTGCTCTGACAGTGATCAAACCAAGGATAACTGTTGAACTGATAGAATACTATAAAAACTACCAACATGAAAAAGGCATGCAGAAAGTTTGATTTATACTGTGAGGTAAATAAAACCTACCACTGAACTAGAGAAATAGTGACTTTTTCTCACTGTTGTCTTATTTACTCCAAATTCTGTGTTGATGATGAATCAACACAAATCTAACCGTATGTCAGATGTGACATGTCTGGTAAACTTGACCAGAGAACCAGATATCCTACAGGTAAACAAAGGTTATATAACTCAGGAATTTCTACAGGGAAACATAGGCCAGCAGATCAACAAGAGCAACTAAATCTTCACAACTATTGTCTTCACAAAACAATATTCAGTGACAGCATTGTGGAATGATATGGACATTGTGAGTGACATAATGACATCATACAACATCAACATCAATGACAAAAGAAAGTCAGATGACACAAGAAGAAACAATGTGAGAAAATCACAGAATAAAAACTACTGATATTACTATAGGAAAGTAATGATTTATTGCGTTAGAAATGAACGTGTCAGAAGCCATTATTTAATTTGATGTCTCTGTTACATCAGTAATTTCTAAAGAACGCAGGTAAAAGTACTGCTTATGCAACAAAAATACTTTCACTGGAAATTCATTTAGATGATGTTTTAAAAACGCCATCATAATCTTATTTTGAAATATTCAATTCCCTTGTGCAATATGAAGTTTCATGTGTTGGAAGCTCAGTAATATTTTGAATTATAAATCTGGTTATTGTTTGGTAACGTGACATCAGCCCCTTGGCTTGATTACTATTTAAGGAATGTGCATGTAGAACGACCAAATCGCTGACGACATGTAGGGGAAATGCGTCACCTTGTGAAAAAGGCTGGAAATACACAGCTGGGAAAAGACCTGAAAAGTATGTGGAAGGAATGAATGCTGGTAAGACTGATGCAAGCAAAAATTTTGAGTACATGACTATATTTAGGCTTATGTAGATTTCCAGGAGCTTGATGTATGTAATAAGAGGTAATTTGTGTACAGATAGAGTAATAATAACAGGTTTGAACACAAACAATCACTACTTCTTTGTGCCTTCTGATAATGAAAAACTGTCTGTGCAGCAAAGCTATTTTCTCCATTACAAAAGAGGAATGTGGAGAGCTGAAAACCTATTACTAAATATGTACACACATTTTAAACACACCTGGCAGATTGGCAAAAACTTGTAAACCCTCATTGTCTAATCTGTGGGAAAAGTAACAATAATTTACTACAATGTCCATCACTTCAGAAAACATTTACATCTGCTCTCAAAGAGATTAACATCATGCAACTTGTAGACTTTAACTCAAATACATTTCTTGTTATTGGTACCTTACCATGTGTACAGAACAGAAAAGATAGCAGAGCTGTATAAACAGTGCAGAGGGGATAGCATAACTGTACAGGTAGTGCAGAGTGGCAAGACAGAAGTTTGGTGGGGGGCTGGGGGGATTGGATAGCAAAGCTGTATAGACAGTGCCGAATGGCAGGACAGAAGAGGGATAGCAAAGCTGTAAAGACTGCCGAATGGCAGGACAGAATGAGGAGAGAGGGGGGATAGGACCGAATTTTAAATTGTTTAATTGTATCAACACCTTATCACCAACAAAAGAGGGACCTCATAAGACCCCACAAGACTACAATAATAACTATCATAATCTACGCCAAAACATGTCAACATTACTGACCAAGATTTCACTACGATATTATCATCTACTGAACTCCTGGAACCATGATAACGGTCTTCGCAAATAAAAACAGCTATACCACACCATGTTTAAAACGGTATACAAAACCCTGGACAAATCCTACTTGATATATTATGCACATGGTCACCTTTTTTTATGAATGAAATAATTTAAACATGAAAATGTTCATCTTTCTCGTATTACTAGAGAATTCATTCGCTGGTCTTTCGAGCTTTGAGTATTGAAGAGTGATATTACATCGCGGTAGTTGTCGAAGCAGAAGGCGCTTGCTTCTCCGGAACTCCTGGTCATATTGTCCTTTTTCAGGAGTCTTTTGTTTATATTTTAGTCTAGTTATTCGAATTTCATTTCGATTATATTCACATGTTTGTATTTTCTTGTTTTTTAAGCCGTCTCCAAACTCAACTATCCGTCGTTACGGATATAAGTGTCGAAAAGTTTCCTCCACAAGTGACATGTATTTGGAACATTATTCATGTATTAGACAGATACTAGAGTTTTTTTTATATATTTATTCAAAACACCGACGGAAACTGATATATTTCATCGAACCAAGCTGAAAGAACACAAAAATACCTACAATGTAACAAGATCGTAATCCGAACTTGAAATCATGGAAGGATCTACACGGAGACAACTGTAAAAGTACAGTCCTCGCCATGCAAATCATTGGTCAACCTGCGTAAGCTATGTGTTGTTCTGAAATTAGTACGGATACATTTTGCTGATGTATTTGAGAGAAAGAAAGGTAAATCTGACACTAAAACGAGGCTAGCGATCTAGTCCATCCCCTTGTGATTACTGTGCCTTGTACATCACATGTCTGCACATTCTTGCAGGCTCATGTAGTGCAGAATACTATACACAAGTACAAAAAACAGAACCTGCTTTGTGTTGAGGATACAAATACTTGTTAAAATAAAACCCTTTCTGTAGCCGGACATACAAATACTGTAAAATCCTCTCTAAGAGTTTTAGATAATGACCATTTGTTCTAAAAGTTACAAAACGCCACAACAGGACATTGTAGAGTCACGTTTGTGCATAGCAGCAAGGGTCTATACCTTATTACGGACAGGGCGGATCCTGTTTGCTCTGAAAGTCATCAATCGTCATGCACTTCTGACTTATGGTGAATAGCTTGATTGTGTTTTCGGTTCCTCGTTCTCCAACCAATCAAAACATAGACGTTAAAATTCAGCCTGCTTATGTTGATTCCGGCTAGTTTTTTTATAGACCCATAGCATCACTGACAAAAAATCCTAAACGGACGGACCAGTTATATGATGCAGATTAAGTCTTTATTTGGCTTTACAGTATATTACAGTATCTAATTCTGTAAGGTTCTAATCACAGGTGTACGTTTACCACAACCTTCGAAATTGCAGGTTGAAGACTGATACTCTCATGTCCCCTATATTTTCCGTAACCTGCACGTCACGTTCATATACATGTACTTGACATTCTTTTGATATCATTTAATATTGCAATTTCACATACAATCCTGGCTTTTGATATTGTGTTTTTCTTCAGTTACCTTTAGCATTACTGATGCGTCCCAAAAGGCTGTAAAAGAAGGATGGCGTAATATATTTGATTATTTGGCTCCAAAGTATCTAGTTCCCTATGTTTCTGTTTATACGATCAGGGAAACTTTTAGAGTGTTCGTTTTGAACAGCCATTGTTAAATGTTACTTTAACTTACATGAAACATATGCAGTAGGTTCAGTGACAGAGTAATTGAGACGTCCATTATGACACCTGTCATGGTGTTACCTGCTTTTCTGTGCTGAAGGCACATTCCTGTAGACACTTTGGTATTCCTCTGTTGTTCTTGAGATAATTAAGTGATACGCTAAATATGTAATTTACTTAACGCCTCTGCCTGAAGCCGGCACTAGCCCTGTTGCTGTAGTTTGTACCAAGGGGTCAACTGTCATGGTCTACAATGATGCTGATGATTAACATTAAAAGAAATTGACCGTTAGTGCTTACTATCTATAAGTTTTCACACAGATGTTCTACCTAAGTTAATTACATCCTTTTGGATACATAAATATTGACTGAAGCTTATTGGAAGGTGGAAATAAAGAGACAACATTTTGATGTTGTGATTAACATGACAACAGCACCTAAGAAAATGAAAGAAAATAGGAGGACGCAAAATAAAACGAATGATGATAACAGCATAGACACCGAAACGAAAGGAAAGACAACTTCGTAAAACAAAAGGGAAATGATTCAGCAAGAGTCGAGATAACTAAGTAAAAATAAGGAGGGCAGCAACAGAAGGCACGGGGACACACACAAGTCAACCTAGTGTCAGTAAACCCCGGGGATTCTATAGACCTGTACATGTTAACCTAGTGTCAGTAATCCCCGGGAATTCCATACATATGTACATGTTAACCTAGTGACAGTAATCCCCGGGGATTCGATATATCTGTACATGTTAACCCAGTGTCAGTAATCCCCGGGGATTCCATACACCTGTACACGTTAACCTAGTGACAGTAATCCCCGGGGATTCCATACACCTGTACATGTTAACCCAGTGTTACTTTAATGATTTTAATTAGCCTGTATAAGTACAAATTTCAACAGTGATACACTTTATATATATAAAAATATATCCAATGATAAAAAAATCAGTAAAAGAAATCAATCTTTTTACCGTGATGTCGCTTCAAGCCAAAATTTGTGTTTCTGTTATAATTTAATTTTGTTGTGATCGTAACGAAGTTGGCAGACAACGTGCACGTGTAAATCGTGTTCTAATGCCTGTAGGCAGTCTAGTGTATGACCCCCACCGGTCACTGATGCCATGTGCTAGGCGATCACCACCTATAGCCCGCACCTAAAGGGACAATTATGTGCAATGTCATTCGAACGTGACATGTGTTCAGACCACACCACATTAAAACAATGATATAGTCATTATTATTACACTTGTTTCCGAAAACACATATATTCAATGTGTTTAAAACCAGCGTCATCATATTTTTTTTTTTTTTTTTAATATTCAGAAATTTATATTAAAAATTAAAAAAAATCGTACTCACCTTTTTATGCTACGAGCGTAAACCACACAAACTTAAACATATATGTTTTAATAAAGCAAATCAAGAAATAAAAATACAAAACATTAATGCTTGACAACAGAAATTCCAAATCGATGTCTTTTTCAGACCATTGCAGTGTTATTCAGACTGTAGAATCTAGTAGTTATGAACGGTATACTTTCGCCTTGTAGATAACAAAAAGAAACTTTATATCATAGATAATCGTGTTTATAAGATGATTTCATTAATATTCAAAGAATACAAATTCTATTAACTGAACAGATATTCCAATGTTGTAGAGAGGATTAGCAATGTGTTGCTGTTTTTTTACCTAATATTTTATAAGTAAGCAAAAAAATGGTTTCTTGTATCTTCAAAGTTTATTGTAACTGCGTGACTTGATTTACAGTGCATTTACTGTATGGCGGCTTATGAATCCTTCTCGACATGACGTAAGTGTACAGAACGCTGTACGTGTGAGTTGGCGCCATGATAAGAAGCTAGTCTGAGGGCTTGGTTTGAATTATCAACTAACTGCACTTATAAAAAAACAACACTTACAAACAGAACATCAATTTTGCTTTAATCCTTGTCGTTGTGTCGAGATCGTCTTAATATATAACATCACTTTACCTCATTAGACGTCACAAAATTGGACTGTTCGTCCCACGCGCACACCCGCCGATATGACACTTTTTCAAGTTTTTGAAGATAAAAAGTTTGTGGACTTTGTTATAATTTATATTTTTTGTCTTTTAGTTTTATATGATGAAGGTTGATTGTGCTGATTTCTCAAGGTTTGTTAATGTATATCAAAGTTCCTTGAAATGAAAATATTCCTTCAAACAAAGCGCGTATAAAACAAAACCCAAAATATTCATGTTTATAATTATCAATTAACTAGAACGAAATATTTCCTTAACATATTTATTCATTTTGCGTGTCATGTTGACATTATCTAATGCATTGGAGATCAGAAATAGTAATAGCTATAGTGAAAATATTGTAAATTTTGTATATATATGGAAATCTGGTTTAATCTCATAGAACTATGTCTTTACAGATATAATTACTGGAAGAAAAGTCTAACCATGATACTTCAAGGAGGATAGTCATGTAAATACATTTAATGTAATTACTTACACTTTAATCTATCTGAAATGCTGTGTACACCTTATCTACTTTCCTCAACTACAGATATAATTACAATAAGTAAGGACTATTACTTTGCAATACATTTAAAATAAAGACGTAGGTATAAA